GACATGTCCATGAGATTCCTACTGGTAATGCCTTCTTGCTTAACTAGGGAAAATGTAACAACGGAAAATTCTTTCCCAAATTTCCATACTGCAACCAATTGTGCTTCAGTCTTTCATTAGTATTCAGTGATGAAGACACTACAGTATTTAGATCATTGCACAGTTGGGTGAGATCAATGGTTTAATTAATTAGGAGTTGAGGAAGGTATGAAAGTAATGATTATAACATCCATTTATTGTCCCTCATAAATGTGTAACTTCCTTTGGTTTGGAAGTCTTATTAGATTTTGTGCAGCATGCCAAGGACTGAATTCCAGAAGTAGGGCAGGCTGAGCTTTTGACTATTAGCCCCCTCATTCCCCAAAATGCCCCAAAAACCCTTACAATTTGGTTCCCATCCCCTCTGAGCAAACTTTGGGGACTAAAAAAGGATGCTGGCAAGTGACATCGGCCCCCGAGATACACTTTTTGCAGTTTGGTTTACATGCCGACTTGTAATAAAATAGTATTTATCATGCTTTGAATACTTACAATCCAAATTACTACCGTGGATAAAAAAATATAGGTAGTCCTTGACCAAAATTGAGCCCAAGAATTCTGTTGCCAAGTTAAGTGGGTTTTGCCCCATTTTAGGATTTCTCTTGCTACAGTTGTTAAGTGAGTCACTGCTGGTGTTGTTAGTAATATGGTTGCTAAAGTGAATTTGGCTTCTCCATTGACTTTGCTTGTCAGAAGTTTGCAAAAGGTGATCACATGACCCCGAGATACTGCAACCATCCTCTATACCAGGGATCTGCAACCTTAAACACTCAAAGAGCCATTTGGACCCATTTCCCACAGAAAAGAAAACACTGGGAGCCACAAAACCCTTCCCGTGCCTGGCTATTTCTTGAGCGGCCACAAAACTAGCATGTGTAATTGAATTAAACATTCTGTTTTCTTCTGAAACTTTTATTTTCTTGGATTTATTTATTGTTGGCCTACCGGAGGTTGAAAACTCAATAAATCACATGCCGGTGAGTGTCGCACATTGGTGGTTGTGATGCATATTTTGAGTGACAGGGAGCCGTAGCAGAGGGGTGAAAGAGCCACATGCGGCTCCAGAGCGCAGGTTACTGACCCCTGCTCTATACATACATGCTAGTTGCCAAGTGTCCGAATTTTGATTACATGACCATGGTCATAAGTGGGAAAAACAGTCATAAGTCACTTTGTTCAGTGCCATTGTAATTTCAAATGATAACTATTTTATTTTATTTTATTAGTCATATTTCTATGCCGCCCACTCTCCGAGGACTCTGGGCGGCTTACACCAAAGACAGTATACTAAATAGCATATTGCCCCCAACAATCTGGGTCCTCATTTTATCCACCTCGGAAGGATGGAAGGCTGAGTCAACCTTGAGCCGGTGAGATTTGATCCGCTGATCTGCTGAACTAGCAGTCAACTGAAGTAGCTGCAGTACTGCACTCTAACCACTGCGCCACCTCGGCTCATCTAACTAAACAAATGGTTATAAGTCGAGGACTTATACTTGTACTGTGTTTTCCCTTTTAAGCAAGGAACAAGCCAAAGCAATTTTGCTCTGGGCACCATCAGGCCTACCTCATCAGCCACTTGGTCAGTGGGTCAAGTCAGATGACCTCAAAGGGTAACACCTATCAGTCCCTTGGGTTGGGGTAACTGTGTCCCCTGTCTTGGGGTTTTTGGATGCTGTCTTCCAGACCCATTCCCCTTTGGGAAATGGGGAATTCCTATTTTTTTCTGACCTTTTCCCACAACTCTTCAGGACCCTCTTCTGATCTCTCACTCTGAGACCTGGCTAACTTGATTCGATTAACAGACAATTTTTGACTTGCAGCTACAATTGGGTCTGGAAATCAAATCAAAGGTTGTTGTGGTTGTAAGCACCCACACGACTGAACCTGTTTTTGACATTTTTTGTGGAAACCAGCAAAAAAACCCATGGCAAATTGCAGTCATGTGACTGCACAATGTTGTAGCTGGTCATAAAGGCAACCTGGTTGCAAACTCAACACCCAGACGCTAGGAAGCACCCATTCTGAGGCCATTGTAACTGTAAATGATTAATGATCATAAAACAATTGGGACCTAAGACGAAAACTATTTGTAATGGATTTTGATGCTACCTGATTCCAACTGATGGGCAACTCACGTCGTGGTGATCTCCCCAGGGGAAGATCACCCTGCATCTTTGCTGCTTCATGGAGTAGCTCTCCCTGGATCTTTCAGTCTTAGTTCAATTTTTCAAAAAATTCTACCTCCAGTATTTTTCAATAACTCAAGGCAGTGAATATACATACTACTTCTTCCTCCTCTTGTTTTCCCTACAACAAGAGCCCTGTGAAGTGGGATGGGCAGAGAGGGAATGAGTGGCTCAAGGTCACCCAGTCAGCTTTTCATGTCTAAAGCGGTACTAGAACTCACAGTCTCCTAGATTCTAGGCCAGCACCTTAACCACTACACCAAAGTAACTATCTCTCAAATTGCACTTGACCATTTAGTGCTCTTTTGGGTATCAGTTTACGAATGGTCCCATGTTGTGTTATTTCAGGAGAGTGCCATTCCAGAATCAGCTGATATTTTGTGAACATAAATGTCAAAATCATCTGGTCAATCCATATATCAAAAGTCACCTCCTCTGCAGTGAAAGCCAACATTAAAAAATGATTGATGGAATTTTTCGCAAACAGCTGGTGGGATGGATCAAAATCTACCCGATCTGCCTTTTAAGGTATGTACATGCAGTAAATAAAGACACCACTATTTGGCAGCCTATGGTCACACAGAGATTGACAAGGACGGCAGCAAATTTAGTGCCAGTATACCTTTTTGCCAGCTGAAAGATAGATACTTAGCACTTTAATCTGGATTTTAAAAAAGGAGTTGGGAGCTTCCTGGACAGTTTTGAGCAATTATTGTTTCCCTGTCTTTCAAATGGGGACCATTAAACTCAAAACGCATCACAGAAAACTGGTATAAGAGGATTGTTTTGTAAAGCAGAAAAAAAATTAAATAAAGTGATGGAGTGAAAATGGCAAAGAATTTTGGAAGTAATAGATTATCTGGGCCCATGGCAGTCAGGTTTCAGCTTTGGGAACAGGACTATACTAAAATACATGGATAACTCATGGGAGGAATTGATGGACGTATAACTCTCCTTATAACAAATGAGGAGGTGATAAGCCGCCTGGGAAAGCAAAGGGAAATCATCAAAGCCATTAAAAAACGAGTTAGAATATTTTGGACATGTGATGTGACACCCAGAAAAATACGGCATTCTTCACTTAATCCTCCAGGGAAAGATTGAAGGCAAACAAGGTCTAGGCAGAAGAAGAAGATCATGGCTTCAAAACCTAAGGGACTGGTTTGGACAAAACTCAGCAGCACTTTTTCATGCGGCGGTTGACAAAAATAGGATTGCTAATATGATCGCTAACGTCCGGATGACGGATATGGCACAAGAAGAAGAAGGATAACTCTCCTTGTTCTATTAGATCTCACAGCAGCTTTCAATACCATCAACTGCAACATCTCTTCTTGTCCAGCTTGGAGGCTGAGGGCCCTGTATGGTGCAGATTTTGTTCCTTTCTGAATGGGTTTTACAACTGTACACCAAACAAGCACTTTTCTTGCAGGAGAATTCTAGCTTGACAAATAACATTTTTTCCCCCTAGGGATATAACTGTCATTAAAAGCACAGCATCGATATACGAAGAACACAGCTGGTCCTCAAACTATGACTGCTCATTTAGTGACTGTTCAAAGTTACAGCAGATCTATCTGGAGGCTACCCCTTATGACTCGGATTCGAAGTAGCTACCGCCGCCCGCAATCACTTCAACATGGCTGCATTGCAACATGGCTGCATTTATGGCTGTTCGCAGTTTCCCAGGGGCACTTTTGGTTTATTGGCAAAACCTTGCTGATAGTAAACCATTGTTTGCTTAACAACTGCAATAACAAAATAAAATTGGGTCAGTCATTTTTTTTATAACTGTCACGACTCACGACTATGATGGGCAGGCTTCATTATAATTGGAAGTGGAGGATTACCTATACCATAAATCTTCCTAAAGAGGGCAATCAGGTGCCTTTCCTTTCAGGTTGTCAAGTCACATTCTTTCTCTTTCCAAGCACGGGTGCACCCTAAGGTCTTCCTGATGCTTTTTGACACCTTCCCCAGTCCCATCATGCACAGCCCACATAGCCTGTAATCAGAAAGAGAGCAAAGAGCAGCAAAGAGGATTAGGGGACTGGAGGCTAAAACATAGGAAGAAAGGATGCAGGAATTGGATATGTCTAATTTAATGAAAGGAAGGACCAGGGGTGTCATAATAGCAATGTTCCAATATTTGAGGGGCTGCCACAAATAAGAGGGGATCAACCTATTCTCCAAAGCACCTGAAAGCAGGACAAGAAGTAATAGATGGAAACCAATCAAGGAGAGAACCAACCTAGAACTAAGGAGAAATTTTCTGACATTGAGAACAATTAATTAGCGGCTTGCCTCTGTAAGTTGTGGTGCTCCATCACTGGATGTTTTTAAGAAGAGTTTAGGCAACCATTTGTCTGAAATCAAGCAGGGTTTCCTGCTTGAGCAGGGGGTTGGACTAGAAGACATCCAAGCTCCCTTCCAGCTCTATTATTCTGCTGTTCAGCGTTGATGACTATTTCAGTTCCACATATTGTACTTTGGTTGCCCGGTCCCATTTCTGTTGTCTGATTACGCAGCTTCCTTTTGTTCTACCCTTCATCTCACACTGGATGGACAACACATGGTTTCCCCCATTTCTTTGTCCAAACATCAAGTCCACCCAATTTGCAATGGTGTATTGATGGCTGGGCTGTTATCTGAGGTCCAAGCTGCTGTGACACAGTATGTGGAAAGAAGACACCTAATCCAGCTGCAATTTGGGCTGTTCCTGCCTGTCCTTGGGGCAGGGCAGAGTAAAATTCCAGAGATATAAATTCTCAAGTGCAGAGGAGGTGACACTCTCTTCTATTATCCTAAAGTAGGGAGCTGCACTGGAAGCAGATGTGTTGATCTTTGGGGTCCTCCAGGATGAACTGCAAGTCCCATCCTGGCATGATGCCGCTGCTCTTTGCTTTAATCCTGAGTTTCCATTTGCAAGGTATGTCGGGAATGATGGGACAGAGGGATTCCCTCTTCAGGAATGGATATTTATCAAATCGTTGTTAAATCTGCGCCATCCATGTTGCTGTTAATGACTCCTTTGACCCCACCCCATCCCTTTTATTTAGGCTTTGGCCAAATGATGAAATGGACTGCTAACATTTAAGTGAGTTGTTTGTCTTTAAGGTGCCAATATATATATATTTTTTGCCTTTTCTGTTAGCATATTACCAGATCTAGGAAACATTTAGATGATGACTAGTGGACATCTAGATATTTACCTCTCAGATGTGGGAACACTTTGTAAAAGCTATGTGGTATCCCCATAATTTTGAATTTGCTCTTTAGGACTGAAAGTGTAAGTGATGTCTAAGCTATACTTTACAACTCTTTGTAAATAGTGCATAAGCTCTGCTCTGTGTATCCTTTCTGGTCTAAGAAAGGAGGCAGGACGTAGCAGGTCCTGAGAAGTTCAGCTGGTTCCATCAACTTCAGGCGAAGGCTGCCCAGACTAAAATGGATTCAAAACTTGAATCTGCATTGTGTCAATGACGATCTTTTTCAAATTGTATTTTTCCCATCTGTAAAATAGAATTAACAGAAACCAAAAGTATGTGGTGTTACATTCAACAACGGCCAAGTGATTTGATAGTAGAAGTAGATGCTACTGAAAAAAATAGAGAATTGGATATGATTGAAAATAATAATAATAAATTGCTTCCTGACCATTTTTAATCAGAAGGTAGTACTGCATTATTAAGTCAGTTTGAAAGCTTGTTTTATCAATGTTTTGGCCTTAGAAGATACTAGGCTGAAATTCCAGTATGACCAGGTACCAACCAGTTGGAAAAAAAACTGGGTAAAATTTTAGAGAATTGCATGAAAATATTGGGCAGGATGGAGAAATGGGCTAATTTTATACATAGCAACTTCTGAAGTTCTAACGCTAATAACTTATATGGCATATTGCACTAAACCATGGCTTACCTAATCATGGTTTATTGTCCAGAGAATCATTGTAGACAAGTGGTTAAAGATTTAGGATGATGACAATAATGATAGAGTAGGAGGAGGAAAAAGATTTGACTAGGTTCACTTAAGCTATGACTTAAGTGAATGATTTCTAAAGATTTCTCATTCCGAAAAGAAGGATCTGACATATGAATGGTGACTAATTCAGTAGAGGACAATTGAATGAATACAGGAAAGATATATTCAAAACATTTGGATGGGTCAGATTTATTAGAAAAGTTACCATTACCAATCTTACTGCATGAACAAAAAAGAGGGCTGAGAAAATATCTACAGATCCCTCACATCCTGGACATAATCTAGTTCAATTTTTCCCCTCAGGACACCACTACAGAGCATTGCATGCCAAAACAACTAAACACAAAGATAGTTTTTTCCCCCCGGGTCATGACTCTGCTGAACACTTAATTCCCACAGCACTGTCTCATTTCTCATCTTTTCTTATCTTCTCATCTTTCCTACTATCTTCTCCTATTGATTTCTTATGATTTATCAATTGTTGTTTGTAAGTTATGATTAATGATTGTAACTGTGATTTATGATCTATGACCTGTCACTTGCTGTTTATATGTACACTGAGATCTTATGCACCGGAGACAAATTCCTTGTGTCTAATCACACTTGGCCACATAAAGTATTCTATTCTATTCTATTCTATTCTATTCTATTCTATTCTATTCTATTCTATTCTATTCTATTCTATTCTATTCTATTCTATTCTATTCTATTTCTATTCATAACAGCTGTCAGGTTTGCCTCTGTTCAATTCTTAAAAAAAGAAAACCCCCAACTCCATAGATTTAGAGAAAAGGTACTTTTACTAAGAAAGAACTGATAGCAGCAGAAGCAAGGCAAGATCTGAGTAAAATCCACACAAAAGTTATAAATTGAAAGTCACCCTAAAGCCCTCCCACCAGGGTCCAGCCCATAAGGACCAATCGGTGTCCAATATGTTATGGGAAACCTCTTCAGCAGATGCTGGATGCCTTCAGAGGCCCAGGATGGTTGGCCTTGGAAAAGTCCAAACAACTCCACTCCGTTGATGGGTAGCAAACCTCCCTTTGAATTCTCACTGGAACACTTCACACCAGCTCATTTCCCCACCCCAAATGTCAAAAGAAACCGTCCCTGTTTCCATGGCAGCCAAGGGCAAGCAAGCTACAAACTGCATTCTGGAGATCCAGCTGACAGTCGCCTTTATGAAGGAAATAAGCTGGCTGAGAAATAAGCTGTGAAATGGCACGTGGGTTGGCCTAGGAGGCAGAGGAGAAACCAAAGGATCAAAACTTGGATTGTATGATCCATACACATTATTTATACCAAAGTTCATAGCACTTTTTACCAGCTGTTTACTGATTAGCTTAGAATATGTCATAGCATCACAACAAATGATAATTAGCTTCTGCCCTAGAATGGAGAATGGGAATGGGTGGAGAGACCTAGAAACTTGAGAACTGTATCAAGTGGTAAATTGCCAGAGAAGCCATCTGTTGTCAGGCCCAACCCAAGGACAATATAGAACAATCCAGCCAAAGTTCATTATTGTTCACACCATATGGTTAAGGCACCAGGCTTGAAAGCAGGGGACCGTGAATTCAAGTCCCGCTTTAGTCATGAAAGCCAGCTGGGTGACCTTGGGCCAATCACTCTCTTTCGGCCCAATTTACCTCACAGGGTTGTTATAGGGAAAATAGGAGGAAGGTGTGTTGGATATGTTGACCGCCTTGAGTTATAATGAAGGCCGGATATGAATGAATGGATGAATGAATAAATAAATAAGTATAGACAGAAGTATTATAGCTCTACTACTGTATACTAAAAGCTATACTACTCTAAGCCTAAGGATATATCTTGCAAATTTCTAGGGAGTGACTATCCTAAATGTCTTCATTTGTTATCTGATCTAGTTCTGCGCTGTGCTGCCTCTTGTCTCGCAACCTCCCCACCCCACCTTTGGAATGCGCTTCCCCCTTCCTGGGAAATTGCCCCTTCATTTTAGTCTATCACATCACCACCTGCTTCATAGACACAATCCATTACATCTGCCTCTTGTTTGCCCTGTTCCTTCAGGTTGCAGATTCCAGATGGAATCCTACTTTTGCTTCGACTTTTTTTTTTTTTTTAATTTGATTTATATGCCGCCCTTCTCCGGAGACTCAGGGCGGCTTACAATGCATTAAGCAATAGCCTTCATACTTTTGTATATTTATACAAAGTCTGCTTATTGCCCCCACAAACTGGGTTCTCAATTTACCTACCTTAGAAAGGATGGAACGCTGAGTCAATCTTGAGCCTGGTGAGATTCGAACTTACAGTAATTGCAGGCAGCTGGTGTTAAATCACAATGCTATCAGTCTGCTGAGCCACCAGACTTTTGCAGGTTGTTGTAGGGAGTTGACATTCCTGGGGCCTGTTTCAAACGTTTTCTGGAGCTTGGCAAAGAGAAATGTAATCAATGAAACTTTGGGGAATGTGCCTGAGAGGCAACAGGGCAGGATTGAGCCCGTTAGCAATTGTGACACTGGCAGATGGGAGCTTTTGGCTGCAGCTGTTCCACACCTTTCTTTTGGCAAAAGGACAGGTGGACTTTTGCCAATCTCTAGGTTTCAGTCAGCAGCAAACAAACAAAAATTTGGAGGTGTCTTCATGGCACTGTTTATGAGGGATGCATCATGTCTAGTGTCAATGAGAGCCCATACGGTGGTGTGGTGGAAGGATTGGATTAGGATTCCAAACTAGACCCTGAGAGCTAAATCCAGCCTTCCGGAAGGTTCCTTCCAGCCCACCAGCTCCTCCCATGTGCTGTGCTCTCTTGGAGCCTTCCTCCCCCCTGTCCCCTCTCCACAAAGAAAGCCCCCATCTAAACTGGTAGGAAGCTGACTGGTGGGTTACTTCCTTGCCTGTGAATGGGGGAGGGGGGAGAGGAGGAAATCTTATTTGCTCATTTATAAAATTGATTTTTCCCCCTGGCCCTCAAATATTTGCAAAATGTTCAATGTGACTCTCAGAAGTTTGGACACCCCTGGATAGGAGAAGGAGATCCAAGTTATAGATCTCCCCTTCGGAGAAACACCCAAGGGGGCTTGGACCTATCACGTTCACTTAGCCCATTCTGCTTCCCAATTATTGTTGGTAAACATGGAGGAGATGTAGGAACTAAGGAAGGTGACTTTGGCAGAAATAGGCCAGATCCATTATCAAAGCAACAAGGGGAAAAATCAAGGTTTAAGTACAAAAGAAGAAGGAAGTACTATACACATAAGCAACTCAGGCAAACACCTCCTAGTTCATACAATAACGTTGAGTAGGTGGGTGGTGGGTGGGAGATAGCACAGGCTTGAAAGGTTCTTACTCTAGCCAATATTATTATTATTATTATTATTATTATTATTATTATTATTATTATTATTATTATTATTATTATTATTATTGGTCTTCTGAGCCTTTTTATGGCACCTGCTGGAATTGGGGGTACCATGGTGAACCTCAGTTAAGGACTCAGTGGCAACTTTGTCTTTTTTGTGTCTCTTTCTAGGCATAGCCTCCAGATGTGTTGACACAGTCTTTGGGGAAGACCTTCAGCCGCTGCCCCCGGGGGTGGAGAGGTGCTCTTTCCCAAGCGGGATTCTCAAACCAGACGTCTCACCACCTGGAATGGGAGGCAACAGCATTGAAGGGGGAGACTCTCGGATAGTGGGTGGCAGGCCTTCCGCACCTGGAAATTATGGAGGAGGCTCTTCTGCACCCCATTCCCAAGAAGAGAATCCCTTTCAGTTTGGCAGGCCAAGTAGACCTTGGAAGCCTGGCAACCCAATGGGGCCTAACTTTGGAGAACCTGGTCAGGATGGCGGACCAAGACCATATGAACCTTGGGGTGCTGCACAACATGAAGGCGGCACTCCTGAAAGGCCACCTTCTGGCTTTATCATCAGACACAACACTCCTAATGGCCACCCACGGCCAGTATGGAAGGAACCTGGTATCCCTTACATCCCAACCCCTAAGGAATGGGGAGGACCCTATGTCCCAGCTTCAAAGGCACCCCCTAAGGCTAGGCCCAATGCACCATATGGTACTCCATATGGTGGTGGTGCAGGTTCCCATACTTCGGGCCAACTCTATGATGGGGAATCCATTGCATCTGGCCCAAGGGGGAGAGCTGATGGCAGTTATGGCCCCATACCTGAGGCTTTGCAGCCATGGGAAGAGCAGGGGAGGGGCAATCAGCCTCCTACAAACCCTTGTACTCCAAAGTGTTAAGGAAGGGAGGTTAGACTCAACTCTGTGTCCCGGAGATGGGTTGAGTTGGCTTTGGTTTCCTTTCCATGTTTGGGCAAGAACTTTAGGGCAGAGAGATAAATACATGTCACAATTGAATATGAGCAGAGCCAGTCTTAAAAACTGAGGACGTGGACCTACAAATTAAAGGCATTTCCAAGTTTATTACTATGGTTGATGGACTATTATACACTAGAAAGTTTTCTTTTGGCATTAAGAGTGCCAATTAAAATGTGTAGGACTGTTACAACATGAGAACTCTCGAGAGGACAGCCATGGCAATGCAATGTTAGCTGTGTGGAGTAGCAATAGCAATATCACTTAGACTTATACTGCTTCATAGTGCTTTTACAGCCCTCTCTAAGCAGTTTACAGAGTCAACATATTGCCCCCAACAATCTGGGTGCTTATTTTACCGACCTCGGAAGGATCGAAGGCTGAGTTAACCTTGAGCCGGTGAGACCCGAACTGCCAAACTGCTGGCAGCCTGTGAACAGCAGAAGTAGCCTGCAGTACTGCACTCTAACCACTGCGCCACCACGGCTCATAAGTAATTCTCCTAAGCAGCATACTTTTTTCCAGAGGTCTATACTAGTTCTATAATTAAGAGGATGCAGATTTCTCAATCTATTTTGAGAAAGACTCAGCCATCTTGGCTGGTGATGATCAAGTGGCAATACCAACATTTTGCACAGCTGTCCAACACACAGTGTTGCTCAGATGGGATAACTGCACATCCTTCACTTCATAAACATGATCTACTGCAGGACTTTCCCTCCAAATGTATTAGCCTACGGTTCCCATCACTTTCACCCTGGATGCCCCATAGCCGACCTGCCTAAGGATTGATGGGAATCACAGTCCAACAGACACGATTAGCAAAAACTCCTATGCAAGATTGTGTGGGTGGCTGAGGGGCAAATTTCAGATATATGAGGCCCCCCTGAGGTAATCAAGGAGAGAAGCAACTTAGAACTAAGGAGAAATTTCCTGATAGTTAGAACAATTACTGTAACCAGTGGAACAACTTGCCTTCAGAAACTGTGAATACTCCAACACTGGAAATTTTAAAGAAGATGTTGGATAACCATTTGTCTGAAGTGGTGTAGGGTTTCCTGCCTAAGCAGGGGATGGACTAGAAGACCTCCAAGGTCCCTTCCAACTCTGTTATTCTATTCTATTCTATTCTATTCTATTCTATTCTATTCTATTCTATTCTATTCTATTCTATTCTACTCTACTCTACTCTACTCTACTCTACTCTACTCTACTCTACTCTACTGTATTCTATTCTGGATGTAGAGAAGGAAGACATCCAGAACTAAGAACTGATACAAGGATGTCTTTTGTGTCCTTTGGAGACAGCTGAAGAAAAAGCTCGCCAACATGTGAAAACCAACCTTTCTAGTTCTGTCAATCAGGAGACAGAGGAGGAGGAAGGAGGAGAAGGCACACAGGACAGTAGTGTCTAGGCTTCACCAAACAGGCCGGGAAATTTGTGAAACCAGCTGTAGAACATGTATGTGACATACATTTTCAAGCTGTGATTCTTCTGTGCTTTCTCTCACATTTTTTAGTGTTAGGAATAATTTTGAGATGAAATTCCAGATTACATGCACTTCTGTCTGTCTCCTCTTGGTCAGCTCGTACACTTCTTCCAAAGGTAGAACCTAATGCCAATAAAGGAGAATATTTGTAGTTCAAGGTTGAAAGTAGGGATCCTTGGGCCCTCTTTGAGCTTGGTTATTTTCTTGCAGATGTTTCATTACCCAAACTAGGTAACATCATGAGTGGTGGTTTGGGTAATGAAACATCACAGAAAACAACCAAGTTCAGACAGCACCAAAAATCTAATGCCCTACAGATGTGTTGAGACTAATACTGCCACTGGATTCCACAGCTGAAGATCAGTAGATTGGAGAAGGCTAGGTTAGGAGAAACCTGGATGGCTATCCTGTCAGAAGAGCTGTGTGCACTGGCTCTAAAAAAATTGCCTTTCTCCCCTCTGCTTTGTGTTACAGCATGCTTATTGTCACTTATGGTGCCTCAGCCAGATCATTCTCCATCTCATTTAGAAGTGGAATGCAGTGGAAATTAATCTCTGCCTATCACTGTTAATACCCCTGCCCTTTCCCGTGTTATATTGTTATACCACTGGAAGCCAAGACTTTTGTATTCTCAATGGTCCAGTATTTGTATTAAAATAATCCATGCTATATCTCCATTTTAGTTCTTTGTTTACAAATAAAAAAGGGGGACTTCAATTAACCTCAGCCAGATCAGGTATGTTCAAAAGAAAGAAGTCAAATTTTTAGATTATGCAAAATGACCAGGTTTAGGATAATTGGCACTGGAACCAATCAAAGAGGAAGTAACTTCATACACAACTCTGTGAAATTCTTACTAGTTGTGTGGTTTTATAAGACTGCTTTATAGCCAAGCACCTTCTCTCTCTTCTTCCAGCACCCACAGAGGTTTCTCAGACTGGCTTTTATCAACTGTTCACAAGTAACAGTGACCTGGTGCCTTGAAGGAGCTAATTTTTGCACCATTCAGCTACAGAAGATGGTGATTTTATGAAGGGATAACATGCACACACCACTCAATGGATGTAATGGTCTGTGAGAATGTCCTTGGGACATGGGAGGAAGAGCAATGTTGGCCAAACCTTGAATTGACTCAACCATATGCTGGTTTTCTTTTTCAATAGAATAGAATAGAATAGAATAGAATAGAATAGAATAGAATAGAATAGAATAGAACAGAACAGAACAGAACAGAACAGAACAGAACAGAACAGAATAATTCTTTATTGGCCAAGTGTGATTGGACACACAAGGAATTTGTCTTGTCACTGTCTTTTATGTATGCTGAGAGCATTGTTCTCGGTGTACATAAAAGAAAAGATACATTCACCAAGAATCATAAGGTACAACACTTAATGATAGTCATAGGGAACAAATAAGCAATCAAATCATATTAGGAAACAGTCAATATAAATCGTAAGGATACCAGCAACAAGGTTACAATCATACGGTCATTAGTGCAAAGTAGCCAATTATCACACAAATGGGAAATTGCAATGTGAGTGATGCGGTGGCCTAGAGGTGGAGCTCTCGCCTCACAATCGGGAGGCTGTGAGTTTGATCCTAGGTAGAGGCAGATATTTCTCTCTGGCCACAATGAGAATATATCTGCTGAATATAACTTCGCATTGACGAGAGGAAGGGCATCCAGCCACTCAGCTCCATTCAGTTGCCCAGACTCCACCCTGTAAGGGATTATGGGGTTGTTAAAAGATGATGATGGGAAATTTCAACCCCTTTATTTAGTCATGAGAGCATACACAGAGGTGTGCTCTCAGGACTAGATCACAAATTGAGAGCCCCCAATACACAAATTAGCATAGCTTTCATACACATTTTGGAAAACAAAGGCACATGCTCATTAGCAAACAAGAGTCAACAAGCAATAAACTATTCACATTCCTTGTAGAGGATAGCCCTCCCAGGTGGTGGTGGTTGTTGTTAGTTGAGAAGTCGTGTCCAACCCATCGTGACCCCATGGACAATGTTCCTCCAGGCCTTCCTGTCCTCTACTATCCTTTGGAGTCCATTTAAGATCACGCTGGTAGGTTCATTGTTAAAATACTACAGCCTTCACTTTTCTGTTCGTGATAAGACTGGTAATGAAGTATGCAAAACAGCTGCTGGCCTGGGTACGAGTTCTTTGATGATGAAAATCACACGATTCTTCCAGAACAGCCATACCAGTCCTACAGGAGGAGCCACAGACTAGATAATAGTCAGATAAGAGGCAGCCTAGCTCACAGAAGGAATGGAGGTGTGAAAAACATGTCAGAAGGGACCCTCCCTATTTTATTGGAGGAGAGTACTACTTTCTGACCTGCAGAATGGATGTCAGACCTTTGAGGCAATCCGGACAAGAAACCCCAACCATGAGTATTAACACTATGTATATTGTAGCAGGTCTGTCCAACAGGCGGCCCACGGGCTGGATGCGTCATGCACAGGCCATGCCAACCCCAGCTCCACAAAGGCAAAAAATATCACTATAGGTCATGTGAAGTGATCAAATTTGACAACTTTGTTGTAAAGTTACAGTAACAGAAAACTTGCAATTCTGAAAGTACATTTCTTTTCCCTCACCTCTACAGTCCAAGAAACTAGGGAGGGTCCCTTCTGACATATTTGCTCCTTTCCTTCTGTGGGCTAAGCTGCCTCTTATCTAACAGGTGCTTATCTGCAGCTCCTCTTCCTGTCTCTCAAGGACTTTCTCACAGACCATTACAATGGGACTCCTTTCCCTATTTTCATTTCATTTAAGTACTAGTTAGGAGAGCAGCTGCAATCTTTCAGTTATAAACACAGAATATTCCATAGCTTCCAAAGCTTTAATGAAATAGAATGTTCTTTGCCTTCACCTTCATTCAAATATCCATTCCCCTTTTCACTCACCTGGCTTTGCAATTCAGCATTAGCCAAACGTCTAGTTCAAGAGCATGGGGTCCTCAATCTGAAGAGAAAAGCTCTACTGGAACTTTTTCTGTTTGATCTTTTATAGTCTTGCTCAGTATTTTTCAACCTTGGCAACATGGATATGTGTGGACAACTCCTAGATCATTTTAAATGCCAACATCATTAAACTGATAATAAAAAGTATCTGCTGCAATCCCTTTGAAGTTGCTTAACTGGAAAAACCCATTTTACCACGGTGGCGAACAATTTCCTAGAAAAGGACTGACTTGTCTAGGAATCGGCAAAATTAAAATCGAACATCATGTTCCTCCAATTGATAACCAATCACATGATTTGCACTAAGGATTCAATTCTCTATATAAACTTGGTTTCTTCTGTAGCAACGTTCTACCTTCCCCATAATTTGAAACCCAACAATTATTTGTAAGGTACATGGTGAGTTACCCATCTTAGTTTTGTGCTGTTTTTCTTTCTCCATGACAAAATGGAATTTGATGAACCTTGGGAACCCTCTCTACAAAAGATCTTACATCTCTGAGGGGATTTGTTTTGGTGTAAACACATGCGTTTGAGATATCAAGATGGGAAAGCAAATTGGGAAGAAAGATAGGAAGCAAACTGAAGAGCATCGAGAATATTGATTCTATTTTTTCATTCTGGTTTATATTACACTAAAATGACAAAGTTCCCATCTTTGTTTGCATTTTGTCTCTTGGCCATTTTGTCTCTCAATTTTCATTATTGTCAAACTTCCAGATTCTCCAGGTCTTCCTGGCACTCTTCCTTCTTATCAATATTTACATAGCCTAAATCAAGGAAAAACACTATTTGAAAACACCAGTTTGGCTCTCCATGATGGAGGCACTAACATACCCAAATGTGATGGATATGGGAAAAATTGTAAGCTACAAAGATATTTTAAATGAGAAGGGGGAATTGAAAAAAAACAACAACAACAGGAATTGAATAGCCAAGGGATAAATTTAGCATAGTGGCCGCATGTACAGATACAATCTAGATATTGTGAAGATGTTAAAACATACGGTTTTTATAAAGAACCAAAAGAATTGGATCAAATCTTAATAGGACCGTAAATATTTCTGTTAGGCACCATACCGGACAAATACAGTAAAAGGAATGTATATTTAATAATACATGTGTTAACAGCAGCCAGTATCATGTTTGCACAACATTGGAAGGGCGAGGAGATCCCCACAGAAGAAAAGATAATAACAAAAATTTTAGAATTTGCAGAAATGAATAAACTAACATTTGAAATTAAAGAAAAGGAAGACACTGAATATTTTGAGGTATAGGATCTGTTTTATCAATGGTTAAATAAGAGAAACAGAAGTTAGAACTTCTAAAATTACAAGAGAAAGATTAATTTATGATTAGGTTGATCACTGTAACTTATTAATTTTGATTAGTATTAACAATTAATACATATTAATATTATGAGGGAAAAGCACTGTCATTATGACATTACTATTAGAGAATACTATTATTATTACTATGATGAATATTACTCGAAAGAATTGTAACCAGACAACACAATATATATACCGGTATATATGCATAGCCTGCAGGTCATTGTTATATTTCTAGGTTTTTCTCTGCAGTCATGCTAGAAACCACCTGTTTTCTGAAAATAACTATTTTATTTTATTGATCCAATTTGGTATAGCTTCCCAAGTCCAACTGTCATTGGGAGAGGGGGGGCAAACCCCCCCCCCAAGCATAGAAACAAAACATAAAAGTATTCAGGTTACTGATGACACAATGATAGCAGAAGAATTTGTTCAGCCTGCCACATTACATCTCTGCGCTCCACTAGTGCTTGTTGGTCTACCAGAAATTGTGTGGGGACTAATCATCTTTTGAATATGGTCTCCTTCTTTGGAGGAAATGTTCTGTAAGCGAAGTTCTACAAATGAGAGAAGAAGACAATAGAGCTAAAGGTCACCTAAAGATATATTTTGACTATCACAATCTTCTGTAGACTGATGTCTCCCAATAGACAGGCTATGTCGGCATTTTAAGAATTGCAATTCATTAAATTAGAAAATGCTGGGTTATGTAGTTCTCCATCTAACAAGGAAATTCCCCCAAGGACTGAAACATAAAGACCTGAGATGCCTACCCTAAGCTATTTCCAGATAGCAATTAAGGAATATATAATTGCTGCAATCAATTTGGAATTCTCCATGCTTGGGAACCATATTGTGCAATTTCTGTACCATCCCTTATTATAAAGGGAAGCTGTTAAAAACTGATCTACTGTATTAAATATGAGATTTAAGAGATCAGTGCTACCAACAGATCTTAACTACAATAGTTAAGGAGTGCCACCTAAGAGTACTTCTAATCTTAGTAGTTAATATAAAATACATAGCATACTATGAGTACTGTTCAGTTTGCAGAGGGTGGAAGTAATAACAACTAATAATTCAGTTTATAATTACTGGTTTCTGGTGCAGGCCACACTCATTACTCCTGGATGAACTCTTTGAATGAGTCAACATGCATGTGTATGTGTGTGCATGATTCAGTCCTTATAAATGGGAAAGGCTATTAGTAATAGTATCCTATTAGTATTGATGTGCCCATATATATCTCCTTGACATTAACTACTTAGATATAGATTTTCGCAAAATAATTTCTTTAATTAAAACATTACACATCAACATGCTGCAAAGCAAAATACTGGCCACCATATTCCCTTCTTCTCTTAATAGCTTTGCATACTGCCAAGTTCCCATTTCACATCCTGGGTTTAATTATATGGATCCCAACGCCACTCTTAGAAAATAAATGTAAAGTGGATAAATCCCAGAATTTCATTCTGAAGCATAGTCAGAAAAAATAATTTTAACACAGAAGGGTAAAGAATGTCTAGGAGAGTAAACATTGGGCTGGAAATGATGCATGTGTTGTCCATTAAGTCTAAGTGCTATTGTTATCGCTATTTTTGTGAAGTGATGTTAAATCCTTTGTGTTTTCCTCATTCATGATTCAGCCAGCCATTATGGTGGTGAAATAAACTTCATTATTATCTGTTATTGCAATCTGAACTGTTGAACAATGCTACAAATTGCTAATAAAGAAATGGCCTTTTGGTATCTTTCCTTCCTGATCTCACACTTCATGCAGAAGTAAAAGACAGCACACATAACGTATCTTCCTCCTGCAACAACAAACCTGTAGGGTAGGATGTTTCCTCAGGGAGTTTTTGTGGCTGAGTCTGAATTAGAAGATGTTCTCGTCACTCCTGCCTCATTTTATGTATCTTGCCTTTTTATGTACACTGAGAGCATATGCACCAAAGACAAATTCCTTGTGTGTCCAATTACACTTGGCCAATAAAGAATTCTATGTTCTGAATTAATTGACATCAACTTGGCACTTAGATAGATCTTCTGCAGAATGATCTGTCCCCATTATGTCTTTCAGGTCTTCCAATGGTGCACTCTTTCAGAATAATAGAATAACAGAGTTGGAAGGGACCTTGGAGGTCTTTTAGTCCAACCCCCGGCTCAAGCAGAAAGCCCTATACCCGTGATGGCAAACCTATAGCCATATTTGTGGGCACGCGAGCTTTGCTCTAGCTCAGCTCCAGCACGCATGCGTGCGCCAGCCAGCTGATTTTCCGGGCCCACCGGAAGTTGGGAAATGGCCATTTCTGGCCTCCAGGAGGGTGGGGAGGTCGTTTTTGCCCTCCTCAGGCTCCAAGAAAGCCTCTGGAGCCTGGGGAGGGCGAAAAACTGGCCTACCGGTAACCTTTTTGCCGTTGCGTACCAAAAATGGGGGGAGCGCAGGGGGGTGTCACATGTGCATGCTTGAGGGACATTGAATTATGGGTGTGGGCACGCACACGCATGAACCCCCCACGCTCTCCCTGCTTTTGGCACACAACGGCAAAAAGATTAGTCATCACTACCCTATCCTATTTCAGACAAATGGTTGTCCAAACTCTTTAAAAACCTCCAGGAGCACCCTATTTGACCATCTTGTATAGAGAGAAAAGAAGATAGCCTTGACAGCAGTAAGCCAAATCTGGGAAAAACAAGGCAAAAAGCATGACTCAATCCCAAAACAATCTGAGGAGAGGAGGAAATGACTCAGACACCTTCTGAATTTCAGGAGTATAAGGGGAAAGGGGGAGGCAGTAAAGCACAAACTTGCAAGATTATAGTCAATATAATGAATTAGTTTTAATGTTCCTTTGGAGTTACTTTCTTGGTCTGGTGTACATAGTGGCTTTGACATAAGTCTTGGAAGTCTGATTGTCAGTTGGTGTTGACTCTTAGCAAACACATAGCTAGATCTTCTCTAGGATGATTTGTTTCCATCCTGACATTCTTGTGCTCCAACACTGCACTCTTTTGTTGTCCATTCACTCTGATTGCATTCATCTTCTTCTCTTCCCTTCTGGTGACCTAGTGTTGCAGGTCGCAAAATTTCGTTATCTGACCTATGCCACAACCATGCAAGAAGAAAATTGATTCACCTGCCCCAGGATTATACAATGACTTCACTGGGGTGTGGCCCTCATGTGGGGACAGCACCAGACCTATGGGAAGTACCCCGAGTTTTTAATCTCTAAGGATCTCCAGTGCCATGGATCATCTGAATCCTTAAAGTGCAATGCTCAGGACTGGACATAATGCTCAAGGTGAACATCTGCCTAACATAAGGTACAGCAAATACTTTCCATGATTTGAATGATACTATTGATGCAGGCTGTTGACTCATACTCTGTTTACAATCAACAAACCAATTATCTTTATTCACAAATTCTCTTGCCAAACCAGTAATTTTCTTTCAAGCAGGAGGAATCTGAGGTCACATTATGCCCACAGAGATCATAACAGAACAGGAAGTGTAGAATGGACCTTGGAAGTCTTCTAGTCCAATCCCCTGCTCAAGCAGGAGATCCTATACTAGTGATGGCTAACCTTTTTGCCGTTGTGTGCCAAGTCGGGGGAGCGCAGGTGTGTGTGTCACACGTGCATGTGCCCACACCCATAATTCAATGCGCCCTGCCCCCCCACATGCGCACTTCAGTGGTGGGTTGCATCCACAACTTCTGAAGGCAAGCTGTTCTCACTGTCAGGAAATTGTTCCTTACTTCTAGGTGGGCTCTCCCCTTGATTAGTTTCCATCTATTACTTCTTGTCCTAACATGGATTCATTATGTAACAAAATGATGCATGGTCCATTTTCCTGAGATTCTGGATCCCCAAGTTAATGCTTAAGACAGAGAAATAGGAGTATTTGAGTAAGTTCCTCATACAAACAAAATAAGGATTGTGAGATCAGTCTATGTTGTGCTTTCTTTTGCGGGGACTTCTTTCTTACTAAGTTTCATTTTCTGAAATCTATAGTAGTATAACATGTATGAATGATTTAAGGATTTCTTATGTGGGATCAGAGAGATATCATACTGTTAACTGTCAGGTAATATATTAACTAATTTACTGTAGTTCATATATTGATGGTGCTGAGAAGCTACACAGAAGCTCCCTCACTGAAGCTACACAGTTCAGCCATTTGCTGTCTAACCACCAATATATTTAATGATGAGTAAACCAGAAACAGATATAAAGATGGACTATATTGGAGTCACTGACCAAGTGAATAATCATTGTTAAGTTTTCTCCAATATGATTTCCTTCCTTTTCCTCTAGGTAAGAAAAAACTGCTCTAGATTGTAATATGTTCCCCATCCAAATCTTCAACCTATATTGACTATTTTGTTGGCACATCTACTGGCACAGACAGGACTATTATTTCTGTGGATATAAAATGTGTTTTTCTACTTGTATACTTCCATGTTGTCCTGTGTAGCATAGCTGCCTTCATAAACCTCATATATTGTTAGTGAAGTAAAGAGTATAATTTAAGGCTCTGTGATGCTGCTGAAATATTGAAGTTGCATTAACTGAAAATCAAATTAGAATTAAACCATTAAATTAAATTAAATTTATTTATTAAACCTCTGTCCAAATAGGAGACCTTATACCATTCTGGACAAATGGCTGTCTAATCTCTTTTTAAAAACAGCAAGAGATGGAGCACCCATAAATTCTGGAGGCAAGCTGTTCCACTGATTGTCTGGTCAGAAAATTTATCCTTAATTCTAGACTGGATTTCTCCTAGGTTAGTTTCCATCCATTGCTTCTTCTCCTGCCTTCAGTTGCTTTAGAGAACAAGTTGTCCTCCTCTTCTTGGAACATAGCCAGTTGCTTCAACTGATTGTCATACAGTATATTTTAGCCTCCAGACCCCAAATTGCTCTTCTCTGCCCTCTTTCTAGTGTCTCAACATCTTTGAATTTTTTATTCTTTGCTTACTTATAGTGCCATCATGTGGTCTCTGTGAAGTCTCATGCTGCATTATTTCAGTTTATTCAGAATCAGAAACAAGCACACCAATTAGAACAAGTTATACTTGATCAAAACAGGTAGGACAAGCTGCCACACATCAAAAGGCAGCAAACCTGACCATTTTACCTAGAGTGGTAATAAAATGTTTGCAGAAAGAAAACCAAGCTCAGCAAAATCCCAATAGATTGTTCTTTATTTATAATAGGAGATGGTTTCTGTCTTGCAACATTTAAAACTTGAAAGATTAGTCAGTCCTATTCTATTTTTGAGGCTGCTGCCACTAATGTTAGGAATATGAATAATGTTGCTGCTGAATACTTAGCCAAATCCTAGTTAGGATTTGTTAGGATAAGTTTTCTAATTTAAGTGTGGTCTTTGAGGATATGTTTTTCTGCCCAGTCTCCTTTTGAAATGGAGATGCCAACAGTTCAATCTTTTGAGCTTCTACATATACAACTTAAAAGCAGCAAATGTGTTTGAGCTCTTAAAACAGGAAACAAAATATAAGGTAGTAATTTTTGTCTATATCATCCTATACTTTGTTTCTTCAAGCAAGGTTATTAAATAAGCCACAATGGGCTAGAATTTATACACACACACACACATACCTACCAAAGTATGCTATGGTTTATCATTATGTGTGAATCATGCTCATAAGAAAAAATAATGAAAAATGAAAAATTTATTGCTGTACTTGCAATATCATCTGATAAATATGGAATATTTATAAAAAACAAGTGAACCACAAACACACTTTTCTCTTTTTTTTATAAAGAAATCAAGAGAAGTGACAAAGTCAGATTGATTCTTTTTTACAATAATACTAAAGCTTACCTATTTTGTAACACTGGTAACTGAGAGAGTAGTTTGGAGGGGTACAAGGTACTATTATTATATGTTATAAAAGGTAAAACTGCCTCAACCTCATCAGAACCTAACCTGCAAACCCCCATTTTAAGCAACTTTGAATTCATAAGAAGAGAGAGAAAGGCAGCAAAATATCTTAATATTGTTTCTTAAGATTCTCCAAATACAAAAAAAAAATTAAGTAGGCTAAATAGCAGTAGTAGACTGAGATCAAACTAAATTTGATGTTAATGGTTTGAAAGGGAAAGCTATCACAGTTCATTTTTCAACATATATATGTTTCCTTTGCTTTTTTCCCCTCCAAACAGAATTGAAATCAGAGCAAGAAGGGAAGTTTAATTATCTTGCTTAGGATGAGATCGTAGCAATTCTTTGCTGAGGCTAAAAACAACTGATTTTGTTAAGAAAAGAGAGATTTTCATCAGAAGCATGGTGGGGAGGGAAAAGATTACACCCTCTTTGCGCAATTCTCTACTTTTATAAACTGTGATAGTAGAAAATGACAAAATGAGGTATTTGTACAAGGCTGCATGACTGGACATCTTTGAATGTGAATTCAAAGCATAAAAGAACATGAGCTTAAACAAGGTCTATGTGGGGAAAAATGGCTGCAAAATGCTTTGATTAACAATTCGCTAAAAGCTTTATTTGATCTGTAGCTCCCCTAGCCTGACCCAAATGCTCTAAACGACATTAGTTCATTCTTAAAAAAAACCTAGACTTTTCTCTTGAAGAGCAATCATGTTCAGTGTGACTTAACTTTCCCAGTTATGAGGCTCTGAACTGGAGATACTGAATCAGGATGCATACTGATGGCTGTGCTATTGAAGAAGCAAACTGCTTTTATCTCAGTCCTATCTTAACAGAGAACTAGAGAGATCATCATCATGTACTGATCATCCTAACTGGTCACCATCCCTTGTCCGGTGGTGGGGATCAGATCTCCCTTCTTTAGATCAGAGGCAATCTCTTTTTCTTTTCTGCTCCGTGCTTGCTGCTCTGTGGAAATGATGAAAATACATTAGACACAATGCTGTGTTGCTATTGCACAATAGAAGAACACAGTTTGCAATTACTCTATACCCAACCAGACTGCATATCAATTTAATCTAGCATGTTAATGACTCCAGTCCTCAGGGAAGGCCTTTCTCCTTTATTTGCTACTTGTTCCTTTAGTTGGAAATACTTAATAGTTAAATCTGGGATTTCCTATATGCAAAACATTGATTCTGCCAAGAAACTATATTTATCTCCACAGATAGGGACAATTTCTCATACATTGCTGTATTAGGATTATGCATTTTCTGATTCTGCACAATGATGACAATATTGTCAGTTGCTGAAAAACTTTATTTCTTAAGAAGTACAAATGGGGTATTTGCTTAAAGTAAAATTTGTGTTCTTGTGAGTGTGTTTCTGAACCATAACAACTTGAAGATGGGTGGACTTCATTTCCCAGAATTCCCTAGCCAGCTAAGCTGATTAGGGGGATTCTGGGAATTGAAGTTCACCCGTCCTCAAGCTGCCAAGGTTGAGAAACGCGGTTTTATAGAGCAGAATAGAAACCAAGACAGCATGTCGGCAACACCAATCCAATTTCTGAAACTGGAGCAGGGATTGCCAACAGTTAAGAGGAAGATCTTTGGTGGCAGCGTTTCTGTCCTCTTTGTCAAACTAAATTTTGTCATGCAAACTATGTAAATAAATGCCAATTAGCTTAACGTTAAACTTTTTGTACAGGTTACAAGAAAGGGAAGAATATACTAGTCACTTCCCAATCCTTTCATAATGTGAAGTAATGTAAGAAGTTCCAACCTTGTTAAAAATCTCTCCCATTGATGTTTAACCTCCCAGCTGCTTTCCTCCTGTTGGAGATCCAAATCCAACATGGTCTAATGATCTAATGCCACATGACTCAGGAGGGCATAGAAAGAAACATAAACATTATCTTTCTGCCTGCGCCTTGCCACACAAATTGCTAATGGAAAGTCACTTCCTTCTGCTTCCTTCCAAGACATACACTTACGGAGATGTTCTTTGATCTCCGCACAGTGAGATGTAGTGAAGTAGGGACTAGGCTTTACTTATCTCTGTAATGTATTTATAAATAGATCCCCTGTTTATTACCATTATAAAATTTGCTTCGCTAAATGTTAGTTGTATATACGGAATCATTTAATCTCCAGCAGGCAGTACTTTAAACATGCAGAAAGTGACTAAAAACAGGAGTGAAATCCAGCAGGTTCTGACAGGTTCTGGAGAACTGGTAGCGGAAATTTTGAGCAGTTCAGAGAACCGGCAAATATCACCTCTGGCTGGCTCCAGAGTTGGGTGGGAATGGAGATTTTGCAATATCCTTCCCCCAGGAGTGGAGAGGGAATGGGGATTTTGCAGTATCCTTCCCCTGGAGTGGGGCGGGAATGGAGAGTTTGCAGTATCCTCTCCCTGCCACGCCCACCAAGCCCCACCAAGCCACGTTGACAGAACCGGTAGTAAAAAAATTTGGATTTCACCATTGACTAAAAATGCTCAGGAAATATTTCCTCATTCTTTTGCTCTTTCCAAGAATGAATCTAGGGAATTCAGTTTTGGAAGCAAAAGTAGCTTTGCATGAGAGCTGGTCAGGCAAGCTTCTTAACTTTCCCCTTAACTTTATGTGATATAATTTATAATCCTTAACTATTTGTATTGTTAGAAAAGTAAGAAAGCCTAATGATATAAATGTAAATTGGTTCTTTAAAAATATAGGCAAATAGCTGGTAGCTAATACAATATGGGGAGGGACAGAGATGAGCGGCATATACATTTAATAAACAGACAGGCAGACAGATCACTGTCAGAATCAGTGACATTGCATCTATTTAAAAACAGCAAAGATCAAAGAAGACTGATGCAATTCATGACACAAAATGTTCTTTTCTACATATTTGTGTAAATAAACAAGACATTCTTCCATTTGTCTGCAAATAAAGACTGAATATTGATTACTATATCCATGTCTTCTTCAGTTCTATACCAGCAAAATAAGATTCCAATTTTCTACCTACCGTGGTTCACCGTGAAGGAGTCACTTGTTTCTCGCAACTCTTGGATAATTTCCTGAAGAAGATCAAATCTGAGGAAACGTGAATTAACCCATTTTTAAATGCAGTTTCATGAAGGATGATTTCGAAACTAGGGAAATGTAAGGCAGAATAAAATTTAGAGATATATTTCGTTTACAAATGTCTCCATTAGTTAGTTGCTAACTAATCAAATGAGAAGGAGGCAGGACTTCTACTTACAGTAGGTACTATTTGGAATTTTTACTAATGTTGTAGGCACAGAAAATGAGAAATTAAAAAAAATTCAGAGTTTGAGAACAGATTTCTTACTGCAGAAAAAGGGGAAGGGATACAAAAGAAAGTCAAAATAATTCTATGTTGATTTTGTTTCATAAAAGATGGAGCAGGGAGAAACTATGATAGGCTTTTAGGATTCTACTCTTCTCCCCTACAATACCATATTTCCCCGAAAATGAAATCCTGTCTTATATTTTTTTGAACCCTGAAATAAGCGCTTGGCTTTATTGCCATGAGCTCAAAAGCCCGATTGGGCTAATTATCAGGGGATGTCTTATTTTGGGGGAAACAGGGTAGTAAGGAGCATTCCGGGAACCCCTTCTGTGTTTTCTTGCCTACCTCAAAGGGCTGACATTTATTGACAATCCCTGCATGGTAAGAAGTTTCAGGGATTACCATAGTAGTCAAAGATTCAGAAAGAAGACATTGTAGTACTACCTGACATATTTACCAGGCTGAGCTTGAAAGACGATTTACAACAGCATTCCATTAAATTCCCACTTCTCACAGATTTCAAGCAGAATTCAACAAAATCAGCTCTCTGCCTTCTATTTAAATTCAGTCCCTATAGAGTCCCATTTCGTTTTAAAAACACATTTCATTTTTTTTTTTTTGTTCCTTGTCAGAATTTAGCGGCATAGTATTTCTTTGGGGATCTACTACACACAATTACTGTCAGAGGTGTCATAAGACTGAGAAACTTAACCTTCAGATTTACAGAGTTGAACACATCCCAAGCTGTCCCAAGCCCGGAATAACGTAATCTGAAAGCCAGCAGCAAATTCTTTATGCAAGGTGATTTTACAATGTGATTGGGACATCTGCTACTTACGTTTTGGTGTTATAAAAAGGCCTTTCTGTGTGACTTTCCAACCTCGGATAAATCTCTGGTAAGACAGGATTTTGCTGCAGGCAAGACTGTAGGTGGTTAGTATCACCAAACAATAGACTAAAAGAAGTTTTTGTTTTGTTTTACTTTGTTTAAAAATACCTGTTGTTCTCTTCTGGCTTGAGCTGATAAATCAATAAGGTTTTGAAGGGAGTAGTTCTGGATGTTATCTTTGTACTTCTCTGAGTGGAGACAAATGGAGGTTAACAGCAATCTAAAGAGTGGTTAGTTACAGGTACTCCTCAATTTATGACTGTAATTGAGCACAGAAGTCATACCAGTTGTTAAGCAGGTCATCCTATGACCGACCAGATTTTATAACATTTTTTCCAGCAGTCATTAAGCGAATCACCATGGTTGTTAAAGATTGTCTACAACGTTTTTTTTTGGTCAGAAACTGGAAGTAAAAGCTGGTTTCCAGCAAAAAATGTCATAAATCATGGTCATTTGACCACAGGATGTCGCAAATGGCCATAATTGTGGGCCAAGCACCTGAAATTGGGGGGAGGAGGGGTGGAGTGACAGTTGGAGTTTCAAATTCTGCTCATAAATGCCTTTTTTTGGGGGGGGGGTCCATTGTAACTTTGAATGGTTGCTAAGCAACCAGTCATAAAGCAAGGAGTATCTACAGGTAATCTTTTCTTACTGTCCGAAAGAGAATAGTGGCAGAAGATTGCAATGCTACTAGAATGGCATAATCACAATGTGCTTTCCAGACACACTTTAGCATCCAAAATCCCTCCAAGGTACATATAGATTCGAACCTGTTCGATTTTATTCTGCCTTATAACCCATATTATCTGATTTCTGTTTTCCAGAAGGCCAAGATTTTGGATTTTGGAAATGACCTTGTTTTATTCACTATGGAGGATGGTAAATTTCATCGTTCTTCTGAACCCATCTCATGTTTGGGGTATAACGGCAATAAATGCATTTCATTAATTCTGTATTCATGAAGAAGTTCTAGTATTACTAAGAATATTCGTTTTCTAAAATTATCAGTCGGGATCAATTTTCCCACTACTGATACGTACGTAGCTGTCACCTTCTGAAATTCCATTACAAAAATTTCCACTTACACAGCAAATCTTCCATAGTTTCTGTGATTTTCTAAAAACATATCCCTTGGTGACACATCTTTTTTTAAATTAATATGCTATATTTGGAGGAATTCCTACATTACATGTACTACATTACATGTACATGTACATGTAGTACAGATCTAGTAAAAAAAATGGTTAAGAAAAAGATCACCTTCTCCAAATAGTACATAGTACATAGATCCCAACTATAATCCCCCATTTCCATAAGGTTAATAGCTGGGTTGAAACCAGGAAGACATATTTCTTTGTCATGGCTCTCATTTTAAGGATTAGTCTCTGTGATTAAAGTTGAAACTCGCCCTGACCTCAATTGCCTTCCAGAAGCCGATTAAAAAGGAACTCTTCCAAACTGTTTTTTAAAATATGTTCTTTGTTTTTATTTCTCATTTAATATTTATTTCTAATAATTTTACAATGAGCATGTTATGCTTTTTAATTGTATTGTGTACCACCAAGAGTCATTGGTCTGTATTCTTAGGAAAAAAAATATATAAAAAACAATAAAGCACATATGGATTTGGAATGAGATAAAATGCTGCAAAAATTTCTGGATTTTTGTCCCTAGATAATCTTCTTTTCACCATGCAGCCAACTGCAATTGTGTTTGTATTAGCACTGGTCAAATATAGCAATTTTCTCCTTCTGGAATATAAGATTGGAATAGGTTTTACTTCTCAGGATCTGAAAACATAAAGATACATGCAAGACTACTACAGGAAATTAGTCCTGCAGAAATTGAAAATTGGTAAAAAAAAAAATCTAAAAAGTTTGGAAAAGCTTAAACCAGCGGTCCTCAACCTTTTGGGCGCCAGGGACCGGTTCTGTGGAAAACAATTTTTCCATGGACTGGGGGAGTGGGGTGGGGAGGGGGAAGGCGGAGGAGAGGAATGATTTTGTGTGCTACTTAAAACATGTGCATACCCAGATGAAGCTTTGCTCACTTGTGTGGCCCAGTTTCTAATGGACGGTGGACTGGTATCAGTCCGCAGCCCGAGGGTTGGGGACCCCTGGCTTATATGACCATGAAAGATTCGTACATCAGTTTCAATAATTCAGTGCTGAACAATACGCAGAGCGGTTGTGTAATGCTGGCACACAGATTACAAGTAATAAAATATCTACAATAACTGGAAAGGGTCAAAGCTCTTACTTTTAATGTGCACAAGAAGGAACATCCTCAGTCATTGTTAAATACATCATAGTTTCCAGTATTAGGACTTACCCACCACCACCCGCTTAGATACGGATCCCTCACTATGACCCGTTCGACCTGGTGCCTCTTGATGGGTGACAAAGGACTCTAACATATGGATGCCAGATGCAAAACGTTTCTCAAGATTTTCTAAGGAGGCTTGGGCCTTTGCCAATAGACAGGCTGAATCCTGTAGGCTGTTCACAAAATTTTCCTCCTGGCTGGTAACAGTGTTTCCCTGAAGAAGAAAAAAATTGTGAGGAGAGTTCAGATGGGGTAACATAGAAGAGACCAGGGTTAAGAGTACAGGTAGCCCTCAATTTACAACCATTAGTTTAGAAACCATGTGAAGTTATAGAAGCATTGAAAAAAGTGACTCATGACTGGTCCTCACACTGATGACCCTCACAGCAAGCCGAGTCATGTGATAAAAATTCAGGCACTTGGCAACCAGCAAGTTCTTAGAATCACGATTGCCATTTGTAACCTTCCCAGCCAGCTTCTGACAAGTCAAGTCAAAGGGGGAAGCCAAATTTTGATGAATATGTGATTCCCTTAACAACCATGGTGAAAAAGATCATAAAACTGAGCACAACTCACTTAACAACTCCCTGGTTTAGCAATGGAAATTTTGCTCCCAACCTGTAAATTGAAGATCAGCTCTAGAATATTTGATTTCTGGAAAATCATCCAAAAATGCAGATTAGTATTGAAAAAAATCTTATGTGTGTTTGTGTGCATGTGCGCGCGCACGCACGCATTACGGGCAACATAATCCAGAACTAGGAAAGAAGACCAATACATTTACACTATGCATATTGAAGATTCTGCTTACAAAGGCTTACAGAGTGGAAAAGTTCAGATTAAAAGAATGGTTTACTTGAAACGTTTCTTAAAACTCTTGGAGATTTTGATGTAGAATAGTATGTAAATCCTAGTAGTATGTAAATCCTAGAGCTGCAATTTTTAATCATTACGTTTATTGATGGGTATGCTTTACAGTCAAGTAAAAAGAAATCCACAATCAATGCATTGCATATATGACACTGTGTGTTAAAATGTGAATGTGCTTGTTCACGGCACACAGTTCAGGCTTCATAGTGAAAATGTTGCTTATCTTGTACTTTCTGGTACCCCCCTCCCCATTTTGGATTATAGTTCCTACCCTGTTTCTCAGAAAATAAGACCCTACTGGAAAATAAGCTCTAGCATGATTTTTCAGAATGCTTGTAATATAAGCCCTACCCCCAAAATAAGCCCCAGTTAAGATTGTCAGCAGACAGAGGCGTTTAGTACTGTATTTTCCCCAAAATAAGACCTAACTGGAAAATAAGCCATAATGTGTCTTTTGGAACAAAAATTAATATAAGACTCGGTCTTATTTTGGGGGAAACACAGTACAATTATGCTAACAGGGAGAGTTGGGCATTATTACTGGAAACAGCCAAAGATCCTTGGACTTAATCAAAGAACTCATTTGATTCATTAAATAAGTTCTCATTAATCGATTGAAAACTCTAAATCATTTCCTCCAGCAATTTGTACTGGGGGAGGGGGAAAAATATTTGCAGATCAAGACTTAAAAAGGCTTCAAGCCTGACCAAGTCATACCAGGTCTGATGACATGACAGTATTATCAGATTCAACCTTCTCCTCATCACTCTTTCCATGTTCCCATGTGCTGTCACAGTTTGACTTCAGATTTTGCTGTTCCACAGATTTGCTAGAGAAACCAGCCTGCTGATCGCTATATTTCTATGAAAAAAAAATGCAGAACACTGTGAAAATAGGTGCTCTTCAGTGGATGAAATGTAATCTAATCTGAATTGTCCCTTCAACCTCTTTCCTAAAGAGGGGCATCCTTGACCAGTCTCTTTCTACAGAAGAAATTTTGTACTTGTACTTGTACAATATGTGAGGCTCTATGCCTCTCAGTTGTCAGTGGCTAGAAACATGAGAAGAACATTATTCTCCTCCTTCTTCTTTCTTGTATCTTGCTGCAGTCATTTAATTGACAATAGAACTTAGGCTTTTGACTTGTTCCACTTCATCTTTCTTTAGATTCTTAATATTAATTAAGAATATTGCAACATTAATTAAGAATATTGGAATTTAAAAAAATGTAAGAATGAAATATGATTCACACAATGAACCTGTTGAGTATTAGCCACTTCCCTTGGGATAAACATATGGAGAGCCAGGACTTTTTCTGAAGATTCAGTCAGTCAGTCACTCTGCTGATCCAAAATTTCCCGATATCAAGAACAGACACTATGTAAGAGTGCTTTGCCTGTTTTAGCTAATATGTGTGAGTGTATGTGCATATGTGTTCGTATAATTTCTCCATTTAAAAACTGATATGGACTGTATTTGACTGCATTAAACACTTCAAGAGTTTAGTCCTGTGTTTCCAAATCATGGCAAACCTTAAGATGTTTAGACTTCGATACACACTGTAGTCAAAGACTTAACATTCACACATATTAAAATTGCCAAGGTTGGAAAACATTAGTCTAGTTACTATTGCAGCATAATTCAAATTACTGTAATTGAAGGCTTTCTCCACAAACAGCCAACATGCTCTTACATGTAATAGGAATTATGTTGTGCCAGGATACATTCCTCCCCAGAAGGAAAAAGGAGAAAGTTTGTTTAAAGCCACTGGAATCCAACCTCCTACCTGTGCCAGTTTCATTGTCTGGCTCCCAGGATGAGCACTAAATGTGCTTTGTCCTGCACTCCTGCTGCTGGACTCCACCTCAAAATATGGTGCTTCTGGAGAGAGTAACAGAGATAAAACTAACTATAGAAAATCTATGAGTTCTGTTAGATCCTTATATTAATTTATTTTGCTACTCCACATTATTATACATTAGCTCCAATTTTGCTTGTTAGTTGCCCTCTGTTTCCCCATTCTTATTCTTGTGTACAATTTTCCACTTTCAATTTATTTTATTTATTTTGTCAAACACGTATAAGATAACAGATATAAGTATAAACATGACTAGCTAAATACCCATGCTCCGCTACGAAACTATGTGATTGGGCTTGATAAATCGACACTTAGAGTTTGAAAATTAATGAGTAGTTACGATGGGCCTCTCCTCTTTCCTTCTCTCCCACAGGATAGCCCCACAGAAGCCTCTCCTCTCTATCCTCTTCTCTCCCTCAGGCTTGCCCCACAGAAGCCTCTCTTATCCTACCCCCTTCTCTTCCTCAGGCTGGCCCCATAGACCCCCTCCTCTCCCTCAGGCTGGCCCTATAGAAATGTCTCCTATCCTATCTCCTCTCCTTCAGGCTTTCTAGCACCTTCTCTCCATGAAGCTTGCCCCACAGAAGCCTGTCCTATGTTATCCCATTCTCTCCAGAGTTATTTTCAAGTTGGAAGGGGGAGTAGAACATCTAACTAATTAGCATCAGAATGTGTTATAATAATATAGGAAATATTAATGCTCTGATGGTCACTTCGAAAAATCCTTTCTTAGTGAGCACCTAGAAGCCAAGAGGAACATACATGGCAAATTTCAAGTTTGTAGGTTTTACAGTTTTGGAGATTTCGTGATTAATGCGTGAGTGGTTTTCACTTTTATATATATGGATTATGAATATAGGATAAGGATATGAATAAATGGGGACAGTAGGACAGGAACGGTAGGCACGTTGGTGCATATTATTGTTCCAATTAAAATTATTGCATTATTACTCAAATAGTTCTTAGCATAAAATATTTTACCTTATCTGACATTATATGAGATGATTTTTTGTAACCTACATAGCTATTCATTTAGAGTTTACATTTACCAAAAGCTGTTTTATAAACCCCAATTCTGAAAAGTATAGTTTGTTGATGAATTGAGTCCAGTTAACCTCAGGATTGTTTGCCTTCTAAATTATTCTGTAGTTATTTTCTTAGTCTATCCATATTTCTACATGAATGCAAAACTAGAGCAGCAAAAGCAAGTGAGAACAAACAAAGAATAGACCAAACCATGGGTGTCCATGGGATCCAGTTGCTTTCATCAGAAAAACAAAAACAGCCACATCATCCTCTCTTTCTTATGTGCATGCAAAGAAGCAATGACTGCTTTGCTCATCTACAATAAAGATTCTGGCCTGTTTCATAAGTGATTCAACAATTGTGGCTAAAATAGGCTATAAGTTAATTGTTATGTATTATATATATAGTTGTCAGTTGAAGTTCTCAGTCTGGTCTTCTGTTGGAGCAGGAAAATACTCTCTCCTGATTGGTTGTGGGCTGATCAGCTTCCCTATAAAAGGAGCTGTGTCAGTCAGAGAGCAACAGGCAGTATTGAATAAGGAGCTGTTAGAAATCACTCTGGCTTCATCTCCATTCTTCACCCAGAATGTAACATTAATATTATAGATGAATTCATTTAGTGACTCAACTTAAAATTCACATCCGAGTATAGATTATAACACACATTCTCAAACCCAACATTTACTTAGGTTTGGCCTCTGGATCTACATTGGAATCCATGAAGCTAACACCTTTTTGCATGCTGTAGTTCTACTCCTGGCCATGAAACTGACCTTCAGGAATGATGGGGACAGAGTCTTGAGTGGACAACGTTTGCCCTGCCCACATGCAAAGCTTCTTTGGACCAGATGCTGTTGATGAAAGCAAAGGAAAATTTCCCACGGCACCCTGTAAAAGTAATACTGCTTATGATTTTTACTCCTGATCAATAAAAGTTAAAAAAAAAGAGACCCAATAGTGTCTTGTTCTTTCTTAAAAAGAAACTTAAATACTGTATATGATGAAAGGAGCCTTGGCTGTACCAGTATTTGTGTTTTTCCCCTTAAACTGAAAGCTTTACCTTCATTTGTAGAAATGTAGTAAAATTTGCTACATTTCTCCACCAGAACAGAACAGAATAACAGACTTGGAAGGGATCTTGGAGGTCTTCTACTCCAACCCCCCTACTCAAGCAGGAGACCCTATACCAATTAGAATAGAATAGAATAACTGAGCTGGAAGGGACTTTGGAGGTCTTCTAGTCCAACCCCCTGCTTAGGCAGGAAACCCTACACCACTTCAGACAAATGGTTATCCAATTTCTTCTTAAAAACTTCCAGTGTTGGAGCATTCACAACTTCTGGAGGCAAGTTGTTCCACTGATTAATTGTTCTAACTGTCAGGAAATTTCTCCTTAGTTCTAGGTTGCTTCTCTCCTTGATTAGTTTCCACCCATTGCTTCTTGTCCTGCCCTCAGGTGCTTTGGAGAATAGCTTGACTCCCTCTTCTTTGTGGCAGCCCCTGAGATATTGGAACACTGCTATCATGTCTCCCCTAGTCCTTCTTTTCATTAAACTAGACATACCCAGTTCCTGCAACTGTTCTTCATATGTTTTAGCCTCCAGTCCCCTAATCATCTGTTTCTCTTCTCTGCACTCTTTCTGGAGTCTCCACATCTTTTTTCCATTGTGGCAACCAAAACTGAATGCAGTATTCCAAGCGTGGCCTTATCATCTGACATTATCAGAGATGGTTAGGTCACCAGTAGCAGATAGACCTCTTCACAAGGGCTTAAATGTTGTGGAAGAGGGCAAAGCGAGTGTAGAAACAATGCAATGATCAGACCTGAGAATGGGGCTTGGATGGCTGGCCAAGATATGAAGCAGCCTAATGGTGAATACATTAATTCAAGAAGGAATCAAATAAATTATGTGTCTCAAAGATTCCAGTCTCTGTTTGCAAATGCAGAAAGTATAGGATGAACTAGAACTAGAATTCAGGAAGGCAAATACGGTTTAGTACAGCCATGATGGCAAAGTGGTTAGAATGCAGTACTGCAGGCTACTTCTGCTGATTGCCAATTGTCAGCAGTTCGATTCTCACCGACTCAAGGTTGACTCAGCCTTCCATCCTCCCGAGGTCGGTAAAATGAAGACCCAGATTGTTGGGGGCAATATACTGACTCTGTAAACTGCTTAGAGAAGGCTGTAAAGCACTTTGGAGCGATATATATGTTTAAGTGTTATTGCTATTAGTAGACATTGCTGAAGCCTTTAAGGATGAAACTCTTGAGTGATCATCTGAACTGGACCTTCAGACCTTCTCAATACATAGGCTCAATGTCTTTTACATTACTACTCTTCTTTCCTTTTTTAGTAATTTTCTATGTAGTGAGGAAAAGCCCATACTTTCATCAGTGCTGCAGATAGTAGGATTAGGAATAACTCAAAATGTAAGGAGTTGAGCACCTTACCTGTTGGGCTGCCCGCAGTAAGTAGCGTAAGTCAGGGAAAGTGCCTCTCCGGTCACGTTCTTTCAAAGCTATACCACTTTTTACCACCTCATAAAATGGCTCAGGCACACGGGCATCAGTTAAGAGAGATTGCCCTCCCTCCATTTTTTCTTTCACGTCGAGGCCATCCAATCCATCCCATGGCATTTCCCCTGAAAATATGCATTGCTTTATATAGAAGATCATAAATCATAGCTTAGGAAGACCACAGAATCTAGCCTGATAATTTTGGTCACCACAGCATTCTACTAGCTGTGATTACTAAGCTTGTGGCCAAAAACAATTTGAAACACCTTTAATGAATTATCAAAGCAGTATAATTTCACTGCAATTCTTACAGCAGCATCTTTTTTCAAACACATGTGGATTTATTTTTATGAAGTCGAAAATGCATTTTTTTCTGAATAATTTTGAAAGCATGCCAATTCTAATTATTATAAAGATCTTGTTGTTTGAATCATTAATAATCCAATAGTCAAAACCACATCTAAGAAATAGACTGAAGTGTGCTAACCTCAAGAAATTGAATCGGATAAAGATTTCTCCACAGGAAGGCAGTGATAAACAAAAAAGATCAAAGGAGCATCTAAATTCTAGTCCTTAGGCCTATTTCTAATTGATCATTTTAGAGCTTGTTTCTACAATTTTAAACTGGATCTAAATCTCCAAATGTGGCTATACAAAATATGGCATGCCTAATTTAAATCTGACTCCAACAGCCCTATTTTAAATACAATTAAGGCTAAAACCAACGTGATCTTTCCAGAAAAGAAAGCATTTTTAATAGATTGCATTTTTGGCAACATGTTCACCTAATTTATTTGCAGTGAAGTTACTTTGCACAACTCACGGGTCGCTGATTAGTTCATTCTACCTGTGATTTTCTACTTGTGTCACAAACTGACCTGTGAAGATTTCCTGAATTACTGTGCAGAAACTGTAGTAGTCAGACTTCACAGAGGCTGATCGGTCTCTGATGACTTCCAAGGGTAACCAGTTGTAGAGAGGCGGAGGTGGTGGGATAGGCCAAGTTAAACAAAGTTTCTCTCTCCTGAAACAGAATCCATTCCGTCAAGATTCCTGCAAAACCCTATCCGAATTGCTACAATTTGCATTTGCTTCAACTAACCTCTGTTGCATGTACTCAAGGTTACTGAGCTTGGCAAGGCCAGGTCTCACCAGCTGTATGGCGTGGGAGGTCACAGCCCGATGGATATAGCCTCGAGAATGCAGAAACAAAAGCGCTTCAGAGACTTGGAGGAGCAGATGCACTGTAGCGGAGGATGCCGGGGAGCTAGGATTCTGCAGTGAAGGTAAGAAGGGAGGTATGTAGTTCTGGGTGGTGAGAAGAGCCGCCTACCTTCCTGATTTCCACGTACCTCACAGTGCAAGGCATAGTAGAGGGAGCACATTTCTACTCTTTCAAAGACAAGCTGGATAGTTTGGAAATCCACGGATGGACTCACAGCTAAGAGGAGCAGTAGATAGGGATGGCGAAGTTGGCTACAGGAAACATAAGACTCATGTTAAATACCATATCTACTCTGAATAACCACACAGATCACATCTCTTGATTGTAACCAGGAAAGCCTGAATAAATAAATCACATCACTATATCCTTCTTTGAGCCATCATATTCCGGATGTGTGCAAACTGCAATTACCTGCAGTGTTCTTGTTCAGCTAGGAGCAAGTCCATGGTGCGACGTGCTTTACTGCAGTTGGGATGTGCCTCTGGCTTGATGCTTCTCACAGTAACCAACTGTCCATTCCATAGCAAGCTAGAAAAAGAGGTCAAAATGGAAGAATTGGAGTTAGACTCTAATCCTTTTCTCCACAAAATTGTGAAATGAAGTCAGTTGACTTTATTTGCAAGCCATCCCTTTTACCAGACTACCAAGCTACGCATCTCTATTTATGTAAAGTTGCCCGCATATTGGTTCTGTTTTCCTTTGTTTTTAGATGCGTATGTATTTCTACCCTCCTCTTGGAAGGTCAGTGTAATGTCAAAGCTTGCCAACAATATTCTGAACTTGAATGAGATGGGAAATATTAAAGATGAACCATGGAAACATATGATGACATAAGTCTCCATGGATTCATTATTAATTCAGAAGAAGGCTTCCACTATGTGTAACTACCACTCATTGAACTGGATCTTCCAAGTTATTCTAAGGTTACATTTCATTATTCTAAAAGTGTGGGAAGGAACAAACTACAAAGGACTATACATAGCAACTCAAAATATAGCTTTACTTCCTCATGAGTGTAAATGGTCCATTCTGATAACTCCAATCTGCCTCTCTTTGTCCTCTGATCAGTTCATCATTATCGGCAATGGATAGGAAGGCAGCCATCCGTGGCTGCTCGTATCTACTTGGATAGAGCTGGGGGGGCGGGAGAAATGAACAAGTTAAGTATGCAGTTTAACATTGCACTTCATAGATTAATACCTGCCCTTCCCACTGCACTGAACTACACGATTCAAAGAAATTTCCTTACATGTCCATATCCAACAAATGGCTTCTTCCCATTTGCAAACATTTGGGGACAGTCCAGATACCTACAAGAAGGGTGGGAGGATTCTTTTAAAACACATTCTTTTGAGTTTTCAATATAAGAAAAGGAAATGGACAATTTCTCTTGCTGACAAGAAAAAAAAATCTATAAGTTGCAATCTATTTTTTGGGGGTTTTTGAAAATAAGTATGGCTGCTTTCATGAACAGTTGAAAAGTGCTTTGCTCGCGTGAGGTCTGAAATATTTCTTCAGGTCAGTTTTTAGGTCTACACTGCCCTAAGCCCTTTGTTCAAATTGTTTGCACCTGAAAGAAATTATATCTTTACAAGTGCTAAGTAATAACTAAATAAATGTCATCCGGAGATAACCCTTTATTGTGACTTCAAGGAATGAGAAGAATTGACATTGAATAATGTTTTGGGCATATTTTGGGGGGGGGCTTTGTTTTGCAACAACATGAATTTTTGGGAACTTGAGTTTTTAAAGAAATGATCACAGCTTATTTATGGGATAGTAATTTCCGACATGTGCTATCCTGACATGCTGGTTCTTGTTTCCTTCATAAGTGTAGATAAAAATATACACTCACTGGGACATATTACATGAGAGAACTATTTGGTCAGTTCAAACCATGATTTTTGTTATATAATCTTCTACTTTAACAGGTGTGGGGGTTAAAATTAGCCAAGAATAAAGTTACCCGAAGGAGGTAGATAAAAGTGAGGTGAAAGAGGAACGCAAACTTCGTGAAGATGTTCCTAGACTTTTTGAGTACAGTGACTGATCACCGTGCTGCACCTGTGCTGCCATCTGAGCGTAGTACTGCTGTATGATGTCCATGACCTAGAAGAATAAAAAGACAGTGGACCTCATTCGGCAAGATCCTTGCACAGAATCTAATAGCCGGGTATCATAAACTAGATGCATGCTTGCTAAGCGGATTGTTAGGGGAAGAGCATTGCTCATGTCTCTGCATCTAGCATAGAAGCAAAAATGGCCACCGGTATATTAACAGGTAATTCTCAACTTATACCCATTCATTTAGTGACCGTTCGAAGTTACAATGCACTAAAAGAAGTGAGTTATAACCGGTCCTCATTTATAACTGTCAGAGAATCCCCAGGGTCATGTACAGGTAGTCCTCGATTTACGACCACAGTCGAGCCCAAAATTTCTGTTGCTCAGCGAAGCAGTTGTGAAGTGAATTTTGCTCCAATTTACGACCTCTCTTGCCATAGTTGTTAAGTGAATCACTGCAGTGCTTAAGCTAGTAACGTGGTTGTTAAGTGAATCTGGCTTCCCCATTGACTTTGCTGGTCAGAAGGTCACAAAGGGGAATTGCATGACCTGGGGACACTGCGGCCGTCATAAATATGAACCAGTTGCCAAGCATCCAAATTTTGATCACGTGACCGTGGGGATGCTGCAATGGTCATAACTGTGAAATACGGTCATAAGTCACTTTTTTCAGTTATGTAGTAACTTCAAATGTTCACTGAATGAACTGTTGTAAGTCGAGGACTATCAGAGAACAAGGTGGCTGGATTGAGTCACTGAAGCAGTAGGCGTGAGCTTAAATGGACTCCAGAGGATGATAGAGGACAAGAAGGCCTGGAGGAATGTTATCCATGGGGTCGCGATGGGTCGGATAAGTTATAGTTAGTTATAGTTTATAGTTTATTTGATTTGTATACCGCCCTACTCCCGAAGGACTCAGGGCGGTGAACAGCCAACAATAAAATACATAAATACACAAAATTTAAAAACCCAATAAAATCAAATTAAATTATTTGGCCCAGACAAATTAAAATACCTCAATAATTTAAAAACAGATTAAAATTTACGTATTTAAAAAGGGAAGAGATCAGGCCAAGCCCGCTTGATGGAATAAAAAGGTCTTCACAGCACGGCGGAAGGAGCGCAGATCCGGGATCCTCCGTATCTCCGGGGGGAGCTCATTCCAGATGGTAGGTGCCCCCACAGAGAAGGCTCTCCCCCTAGGGGCCGCCAGTCGACACTGTTTGGCTGACGGCACCCGGAGGAGTCCCTCTCTATGAGAGCGTACTGGCCGGTGGGAGGCTATTGGTGGTAGTAGGCGGTCCCGTAAATAACCAGGCCCTAAGCCATGGAGCGCTTTAAAGGTGGTAACCAAAACCTTGAAGCGCACCCGGAAGACCACCGGGAGCCAGTGCAGCTCGCGCAGGAGAGGTGTTACATGGGAGCGCCATGTCGCTCCCATTACCACCCGCGCGGCCGCACTCTGCGCCAGTTGGAGCCTCCGGGTGCTCAAGGGGAGCCCCATGTAGAGAGCATTACAATAGTCCAGGCGGGAGGTGACGAGGGCATGAGTGACCGTGCGTAACGAGTCCCGATCCAGAAAGGGACGCAACTGGCGAATCAGGCGGACCTGATAAAAAATCCTCCCGGTCACGGCCGTCAAGTGCTCTTCTAAAGACAGCCGTGAATCCAGGAGGACGCCCAAGTTGCGAGCCCTCTCCGTGGGGGCCAATGATTCGCCCCCAATAGTCAGTGATGGCGTCAACTGGCTATATCGGGACGTCGGAAACCACAGCCACTCGGTCTTGGATGGGTTGAGCCTGAGCCTGTTCCTCCCCATCCAGATCCGTACGGCCTCCAGGCACCGGGACATCACTTCAAGGGCATTGTTGGGGTGATCCGGGGTGGAGATGTACAGCTGGGTGTCATCAGCGTACTGATGGTACTCCACCCCGAAACCACGGATGATCTCGCCCAGCGGCTTCACATAAATGTTGAACAGGAGAGGTGAGAGGACCGACCTTTGCGGCACCCCACATATGAGGGATAAGACTTCGCAACTAACAACAACATCCCAGGGTCACATGATTGCTGTTTTGCAACCTTCCCTGCCAACTTCTGACCAGCAAGGTCAATGGTGGAAGAAGGATTTGTTTAATAAATTCATGATTCACTTAACAACTGCAATGATTCACTTAACAACCATGGCGAAAAAGGTCATAAAATCAGATGCAACTCACTTAACAACCACTTTGCTAGCAATGGGAATCCTGATCCCAATTGTGGTTTAAGTTGAAGACTACTTATAACTATCTTTCTCCACAATTTTGCAAAAAACAGAGCCTGGTGGTGCAGCAGACTAATAGCCTGTTATTAACATTCAGCTGCCTGCAATTACTGCAAGTTCGAATCTCCCCAGGCTCAAGGTTGACTCAGCCTTCCATCCTTTCTAAGGTAGGTAAATTGAGGACCCAGTTTGTGGGGGCAATAAGCTGACTTTCTATAAATATACAAAAGTATGAAGGCTTAACGCATTGTAAGCCGCCCTGAGTCTCCGGAGAAGGGCGGCATATAAATCAAATCAAATAAAAAAAAAAAAGCAGTGAACTTTCAAACACAGAAAAAACTCCCCAGTGCTGTTAATTAGTTACTATTAGATTAGAATCTTTTGGTTTTTCTAGCAGGCTAATACATTTCATAGAATTATGTCCATATCAGCCTTATGAACTTTGTACCTTTGCATTTTGTTCACTTCCAGCTTGCTGGGCCCAGTCTTTAGGAGTCCGACCCTTTTGATCATGGAATCTTAAATCACCTCCCACTTGCAAGATACTGTTGAGAAGTCTTGGGTGACCAGAAAATGCAGCTGCATGGACTGGAGTGCTACCATCATAACAACGACTGGGATTCATAAAATAGAAAGAGAAGGAAAAAATTTAGGATATCAACTACAGGAAACAACTAAGTTCAAACGGATCTCATTTGTGGTGAATGGGCTAAATGTCTATGGAGATTCTCAGTCATCCAGGTCATGGTGTTCCCAAAGGTGCTTTTTCAGAAGGCAACTGGACTTTCTGGTTTTTCTTTGAAGACGTTTTGCTCCTCAACCAAGAAGCTTCTTTAGCTCTTCAGACTATTTTACCAAGTCTCTCAGTGCTCATAGATCATGACTGATTCAACAGGAGTTGGTATAGCAGTAGTCTGGGCTCAGTGGCTTCTTAAACTAAGATATCTTTTGGACCGTGGAAATATGGCATAAACTATTAGGGCTGGCCAGTGATCTGGATCTGAAGAACAAAATGAGTTTGGGGTTGTGAATGAGAACACATAAATAGCATCTCTCGGGAACAAAACAGATGCTGCTTTCCCTGGGATTGTATGTCTAAATCACTAGGCTCATATAATTTACAACCGGCAGATGCTCAATTTGGGAGCCAGTTTAGTATAGTGGTTAAGACATCAGGCTAGAAACCAAGAGACCAGTTCTGTGTTAGGTCTTAGGCCAGTCATTTTCAACCCTAGGAAGTAGGCAGTGGGAAATCACACTTCTGAAATCTTTCCAAGAATAGTTTTCTTTTCTTGTTTGAATTATAGAGTTGCTTTGTGAGCCAATCAGGAACAAGGTTAGCTCATCAACTGACAATTATTGTTCAAAAGCCTCCATTAAGATGTTGCTCTTAATGCTGAATGGCAAATGTACCGTTCTACAACATGGGCCCATTAGATGTAGTCCTGTCTTTGGGACAGCAGGGACAAGTCTTCACTCTCATCTTCCTTAAAACACTTTAGGAAACGTGAAAGTGCTGTTGTGTGGACACCTCCAACAGGCCTGTTAGCAGCGGTGAAATCCCCCTCGGTTCTATCTGGTTTGCTGAACTGGTAGCGTGCGTAGAAGAGGTGTGCGCTCTCTCCCGTGTGCTCCTGTTCCCGAACTGGTAGCAAAGGTAAGTGGATTTCACTGCTGCCTGTTAGTGTGTTAACTGGAACGAGAAAGAGGATATCTCCACAGCAAAGCTAGGCCATTTCTAGTCACCATTATCTGTGGACTATAGCTGCAAAGCTGAGGCATGAATGATGGAATTGTTCCTAAAGGAATGAACATCTGTAGATATCTGAAACAATGTAGACATTGGGATGCTTACAATATATTTCTATTCTAAAACAATTGCACATTGAGAAAGGCTGCAAAAGAATAACTAATATTGAACTAGTTTCTCTAAGAATTCTATATCACTCACTGATTAGGATTAGCACCAAAGCGCAGAAACAGCTGAACTATGGAAGCATGTCCCAATAGGGCACCAATATATAAACCAGTCTGTCCAGCTGCATTGTGGCTATCGACTTCCACACCTAGGAAGGAAGGAAGGAAGCATACACAATGAATAATAGCAATAAATAAATAAATAAATAAATAAAATCTGAATGCATGTCCATTGGAATTGGGCAATCGATAAATTAATAAGATTAACAAGGGCAACAAGAGTAAATTTACAGTAATACTCAATTTACAACAGTTCATTCTGTGACCATTCACACTGAAAAAATGACTTATGGCCATTTTTCATGCTTATGACCATTGCAGCATCCCCATGGTTACATGATCAAAGTTCAGACGCTTGGCCACTGACTCATATTTATGACAGTTGCAGTGTCCCAGAAACATGTGACCACATTTGCAACCTTCTGACAAACCTAGTCAATGGGAAAACCTGATTCATTTAACAACTATATTACTAACTGAACATCTGCGGTGATTCACTTAACAACTGTGGCAAGGAAGGTCATAAAATGGGGCAAAACTCACTTAACAAATGTTTTGGGCTCAATCGTGGGTGTAAATTGAAGACTCATCTGTATATGCATCAAAATGAGTTCAATGAACTATAACTAAATCTCCTGTCCCATATTAGAAATATGGAATAGAAAATAAAACATACATTTTGCTGCTTATATCCTCTAATTTCAACACATGAATGATGCACACCTAGTGTTCTTACTCTTACCAAACAGCAGCTATTGATGCAATGTAACCCACACCAGCAGTCACCAACTGGTGGTCCATGAGAAAATTTTGGTGGTCCACAGAAAAATTATTTGCATTTTTTATATTGCACTAAATCAGGGGTCCTCAAACTGTGGTCCCTGGGCTGGATATGTGCAATGAATGTTTGTGTTGCTGCAGAGAGTCTCCCCCTTTGGGGTCTTTTTGTGCAGGTTGGAGGGAGCCAGAAATTCTGACTTGGGGTCTGCTTTAGCCTCTTGGTGCAGGGCTTTGCTGAAGGCTGGAGGGAAGCGCTGCTGGTGGCAAGGAGCCGGAGGGCCTTGTTCCAGTGGGACTGCATCATGGCTTGGAACTGGCTGACCATCTCAGCCCACTGAGCCTCCAGGCACCTGTACCTGGCCTTGCACTCCCGCAAGTTTTCCCTCTGCTTGGAAAGCCTATGCTTGTAGTCCTCAGTGAGGAGCTTCTGCTGAGCCTCCTTCTCGGTCAGATCCAATTTGAACTGAGTCAGCTGTTTTGCTAACTCTTTCTTGTGCTGGCTGCTTAGCTCCAACAATTGTTTCCTGTTGGGGCCCTAAGGAGCCCAGGCAGGCAGGCAAAAAGTGGCTGGGAGGGGAGGGGTGAGTAGAGGCCAGCGAGGTGCCTCTCAACGTGAGTGACATTGAGTTAGCCACGCCCACTCAGTCACATGACCACCTAGCCACCCCCAACCCCCAACCAGCCAGTCATTAGGCAGGTCATATTAGTGGTCCACGGGATTTAAAATTATGAATTTAGTGCTCTCCAAGGTCCAAAAGGTTGGTGACCCCTGACCCACACAGCAAACATGATTTACCTCTTTTTAGTAATATTTTGGCCTTATTGCTCTTGCCCTCAGCAGCATGCATCAGTAACTGCCCCTCCAGAGATTCAGGTTCAGTAAAGTAGCCTAGGCTCACAGGACAGTTTGGCGAGAGCACTGGCACCTTTGGCATCACACTAAAACAAGCATCAGAACATGGTTTAAGCAATATTATAAAATAAAGCACTGCTTTAAATTAAATACCAGCCTCCTTTAAAAATCATATATTGTAAGAAAATGTAGATATATGGATGTGTGGATATAAGATGTGGACACACGTATGGACATTCAGAAGAACAAAGATGATTAGGGGATTGGAGGCTAAAACATATGAAAAATAGTTGAAGGAATTTGGATACCGGTATGTCTAGTTTAACAAAAAGGAAGACTAGGGGGTGACATTAAGGCCTGTCACAAAGAAGAAGGAGTCAATCTATTCTCCAAAGCATCTGAAGGCTGAATAAGAAGCAATGGATGGAAACAAATCAAGGAGAGAACCAATCTCCAACTAAGGAGACATTTCCTAACAAGTTAGAACAATTAATCAGTAGAATGGCTTGCCTTCAGAAATTGTGAGTCCTCCACCAGTACAGGTTTTTAAGAAAAGATTGGACGGAAACGGTAAAGTCTTCTGCTTGAGCAAGGGATTAGACTAGAAGACCTCCAAGATTCCTTCCAACTTATTCAAATTTCTTTCCTCCTCTTTTCTATAATCTTAAGTGTCTTCAAGAGGGCACCACTGTACAGAATGGAATACAGAGTTGGAAGGGACTTTGGAGACCTAGTCCAACTTCCTGCTCAAGCCCCATAGGTGCTTTTTCAAAGGTGCTCAAGCAGGAGAGCACGCTGGCTGTCTAATCTCTTTATTCATATATATTTCACAGTAAAAGTTTCTCCAGGATCTCCAGGCAATCAGTGCATGTTGAAAACCTTATCAGTAATCCCATTTATATTCCTGAATATATCTTTACCGATTCCCATGGGATTACTGTGTGAATATTCACGAAACTCTGCTGCACATTTCCATTTTTATGAAAAATCTGCTTTTGATAAATCCGTTTGCCTGAACAACTTTGCCATAGTATATTGTAAACTGCAATCTGACCTTTATAGTACTTCTTTCTAAATGGAGGAGCAGTATGGTGCTATTGTATGTCTAATTGTGAATTCCATGTGCTATTGTGTAGGTGTTCTGTATTGCGTTGTTGTCAAGCAAATGTGGATTTTCCCTATCCCCGTCACAAGGCTGAGATTACATACACTTGATCCCACATTACTAATGCAAGCCTACCTGGCTCATCCACCTGGAAATATTCACGGATATGGGAAACACACTCTGCATATTCAGCTGCCTTTATTGACTCTTACTTTCTATTCCTGGAAGGGTTGAGTCCCAGGTCTATATTAACACTTCATGCTGCAGCATTATAAAGTGCTTTACGCTCCTACATCAAGCCAGTGTGCAAAATCATAAAAATTGGAAAATACACTAAATCCTGAATTCAAGTCAGGACATTTTGTAGAGCAACAAAACAAAACTGGAGCCTACTCTAAGCAGGGCAGGAACCAATAGAAAGCAATAGATGCTAGGGGTTAACTAAAGTATTAAATATAATGAATGCACAAAAGCCACCCTTGATTTCAATTACATCTCTTGGGAAGAAAACAATGCCTTTTTTCTGGAAATCATCCTTGCTTCTTTAAAAGAAACACCTGTCACCTCAAGGAGCATTCCTTGGGCGAGGAAAGGCCCAGCGAAGAATTAGGGTGCCAGAATCCCCCCCAAAAAACCCCAATTACTTCCTTTCTTGCTTTTATGCTCTGAAAGTGATTGACAGTCAAGATCGCAAGAGCGAAGATGGAAAGCGGGGCCTTTTCAACGGCCGCAACGCGAACCAATCAAAGGGGTCGAAGACAGATGGAGAGGTGGGGCAAAGCGCGAATTGACGGGAAAATAAAAGGTTTGCCAAGCGCGAGCACAGCGAAAAATCTGTTGGAGATTCCCTTTCAAAACGAGCCCCGCCTATCTACCAGCAGCTTGGTTTTAATAGTTGGACGCCGAAGACCGAACCATTTTCGCCCCTTAGGGAGGATAACCTATTTTGAATGTTTACGAATTCAAAAATAAAAGGAAATAGAAAGCGAGCGTGATAAAGAAAAGACTGCAACTTCATCATTTTGTCTCCTCTGCAATTTTCTTGCTTATAAGGAATCAACATAGCATAGGCAAGCACTAAAATAGGGAAATGTCCCTCTTTCCAGGTCGAAGTAGTGTAGTCCATTTCCTCCTGTCTTTTCCCCGTTTGACGGTTGAGCGTCCGTTTATTTCGTGGAGAGGTTTGCTACAGATAGGAACCGTTCTTAAGCAGACGCTTTATTTAAAAATAAAATTTCTAAGATATTCCCCTCCGAGCAATTGATGATGGGAGAAAGAATAATCCAATTTAGCAATTAAAGTTAGAAAATAAAATCTGCTTTTGTCGCTCTGCGTGTTTTTGTTATCGTGAAAGTACATAATAAAACGCTGATTTTTCGAGTTTAAACTCATGCTCGTTCGCTCTCGGGTATCTGAATGTACCAGAAGCAAACGTTTTCTATGGTTTTACGTCAAATACACAATATGTACAAAAACGAGAGCTGATCAAACCCTTAACAACCACGGCAAAAAGGAAATGTTGAGGAGAAAAACGCCCTTCACAATTCACAATGATGAATTAATTCATCATTTATTCACTGCTTCCTCTCCAGTTTTACCTCATTTTCTTTTATCCCAGTGTTTCTTAACCTCCCCCCTCCTTCCCGGGACCCTTCTCATTTTTAAAAATGATGGGTTATTATATTTATTGGTATTAATCATATCAAGAGTTAAAATTAATACCTTTGCTGCCACTATTGCTTCTCATGATTATTTGATAGGATTTTGGTGTCATTTTCCCACACAAGTTGGAAAATAATTTTGATTTCACAGACTCCTGAGTGAGTGAGTCTTGGAGACCCCCAAGGGTCGTTGGGCCACTCTTTGAGCAAAACCTTTATGCCACTATATTTGGTTAAAGAAAATCCTGCCTCAAATGACTTGGCAGAAATTTATGGAATTTCTAACTCCACAAAAGATGTTTTGCTGTGAAATCCAAATTTCACAAGTGGGTGGGTGGAAAGAATGCTGATTTAAGGGAAAAACTTAGTTTATTAAATGAAGTTGTAAGGCAATTAACATCTTGAACTAGGCTGCTTTGAGGATTATTTGATTAAAAACTACGGTATAACGAAGTAGCAACTCTAAATAAAAGCAGTTTTCCTAACACTGGTGGGTTGCTTCTTTGCTTGTGCTGGTGGGTTTGCCACCAGAGAGATCTTAGTAATGACATAATACCAAAATTAAACAAAAATAAAGGGGCTAACTATGTTTATATTTCTTTTTTAAAAATCAGGTCTGTTTCTAAGGCAGGATAGTAGGAGCCAGAGCTGCTTTAGAATAATTACTCTGGACATCTGACTCCCAAAAAGACAAGCTTCTTTATTAACTAGCCTTAAACCTTTGAAGAACAACTCTACTTTTTTTCAAAAGTCTAGAAAAGCTCTTATTCTTTCAGCTGGGATGTTTATTCTCACAAACTAGCCTTAGATCTAGGTAGACCAAGGTGGTTCTGAAGGGCAGATGACAGTTGGAGCAAGTTCTCATCTCTTCCTGGCCCAAGTTATGGTTCATCCAGTTTATTATTGTGCTATTGTGTATTTATTAAAGAAACAAGCAATTTCTACAAAAGCTTCAGTTTACAAAATCCTACTCTAGACATTACAGTACTCTGTAAATGTCTGTATTTACAGTATGGAAATTTAAACTTGAAATTTCAGTTGATGAATAGTCAATAAGTTTCATCCTCGTATTGTGCAGCACCATGTCCCTACATCATGACCATAATAAAGATATTTGATTTGACCTTTTCGGTCCTCCTTAGTACTTGGATATAATTTTATCTATTTTACCTATTTTATCTCTTCGCCTGCTTTCTATTCTTTTTGCTCCCAAAACACACATTGTTTGTTTTCTGGCATTTTTGGTCTGATCTGCCATTTCTTTTTTTCCTTATCTAGCCTATTTTCCTAACTTGTTTTCAGGTAAACCTTTGATTATATACTGTAACTGCTCCATAAACCATGATGGGGGTGGGCATGTCAATGGTAGATATTTTGGCCAGGTGCTGTTCCTACTGGGATATGGGAAATAATTTGATGCAAAATTTGTGACCCATAAAACAAGCAACAAAGAAATAGAAAAATGAATTCAGGTAGTAAATTCAAACCTTTGTTGAAGATAGGTATTTCCAGGCAGATAATTTGAAATCATTGTGACTTAGGATATCCAAGAACGGGTAAAATATTTATGTAGAAATATTGTCTTCTGTTCAGAGAACTATTTTGCTGCCCCTCCACTACCATTGCCAAGAAACACTATAATGATCTCTGGAGAATGGAGAATACTTGATAAGAGAACACTCTGCTTAGTAGAATACCTTTGTGATGAAACACCTCTCCCATTATAATACATATATATACTGAAGATGCATAAGACAAGATGCCTAAGCAGGAAATGTGTTTGTACAAGCTTTGATTAAATCTGCTACCTTCTGTTTATCAGCCTACAATCAGGTCACATGATTGTAAGTAGACATAAATGTATCAGTCAATGAAGGAGAGAAACCCAGGAAATAATATACTAAATAAAAAGATTATGAGTTGCACCCATATATTATATCATTAAATACAGTTAGACATGGCATATTATGCACTGAATAAAACATGATTTATCTAATAATCTCTGGTACATTTGAAACAGCTATCCATTTGAAAAGAAAAATGAGGTAAAATAAACAGAAATAATGTGGGAGTTTGTTTCTTGAACTTTGTTTCCAGTTTTAATCTTATAATGACCCACTAAATAATACCTTATAGCGTTGCATGGTGATAATTATTACTACACTGCACAAAAGACAATATGAACTATTAGGCAACGTTTAATGTATTTCTAAGATTTTAAGATAAATCCAAGCCATAAAAAGCAATTTACATGCAATAAGTGTACAGTATAACAAAAAAACATTGGATAAATAACTTACTAAAAAGTGTGACTTAAACTCTTTTCAAGTTTAAGGTAATTCTTCAGAAGTCGTGGATGGCCATCTGTCAGGGATGCTGTAGTACAAATTGTCCTTGACTTACAACCATTTGTTTAATGACCAATCAAAGTTACACCACCACTAAAAATGGTGACTCATGACTGTTTTTCATATTTATGACAAAAGCAGTGTGTGGTCATGTGATTAAAATTCAGACGCTTGGCAATTGATGTGTTTTGGTGGTTTATTTATTTATTTATTTATTTAATTTATTTGCCTCTTGCCACGGGGATACTCTAAGTGGCTTTCAATAGTAAAAAGGAAGAAAAATGAAAGGGTTGTAGAAAGAACAGAAGTAAAATAATAGAACAAGAAAATAAACAATGACAAAAGAGCACATTGAGAATAATACATAAATGTGATGACCCAAAGGTACTTAGAGGCAACTGGACTTTCTGACTTTTCCTTTTAACCAGAAAGTCCAGTTGTCTCTTGAAAAAGCACCTTTGGGACAACCCTGACCTAGATGACTGAGAATCTCCATAGGCATCAATCAACATGATGACCAAACAGATGGATGGGTGGGGAGAGGAAGTGGTGGTGGTGGTGGTGGTAGTGAAGATGGAATCTGCCATCAATCTAGCAGGCACCTCCAGTGTGGAACTCCCCCATTTTGTCCCAAGGCCAATAGGTAGAGCCATGTCTTCAGGCTCTTGTGGAAGGATAGGAGGGTCCTGGGATCATTTGATTGCCATTTGCCACCTTCTGACAAGCAAAGTCACTGATGAAGCTATATTCACTTAACAACCATGTTATTAGCTTAAAAATTGCAGTGATACACTTAACAACTGTGGCAAGAAAGGTCATAAAATGAGGCAAAATTCACTTAACAGCTGTCTTGCTTAGCAATTGAAATTTTGGGCTCAATTGTGGTCGTAAATTGAGAATTACTTATGGTAGATTCCTGACTAAGCAATGGATTTGATGAGATAATCTCCAAGGTCATTTCCAAAACTTATACCGTTCAATTCTATGAAATGGAATATTTTGCAAATGGTTCAAAATTGAGCAGAAGGACAAAAGTATGAGAATACCCCTTGGTTGCTTAATGTATTTATGGATAAATTTATAAGGAATACTTCTGATGTCTGAAGCGTACTGGTTGGGCATTTAAATGTATGGTAGATTTTAAAAAATATATAAATAGTGCTATGTTATTGGATGAAAATGCAAATAATTTCTAGCAAATACATGATGCAACAAGTAATATGGACCTGAAAATTAATATATCCTAGACCTTTGTTTGGAGAAAAGTAGAGTGAATGATTGTGAGTTAAATTTATATTTTGTTATAGCCTAGCTTTGGAGGCCAATCATGGAAAATGCAATAGTTCTTGAAATTTCACAGCCTTGCTTTAGATCAGTGACCTCCCCCTCCTGAACTCTCTAACATTTTTCTCCTCCTCCTTGTTTAGATTTATTATGTCAGAAGATTCTTACACAACTGTGAATACTGGTTATTAAAAAATGATATAATGGTACTGGATTCAGTGGCACAGTTGAGTGTATAGCAACCAACATGCAACATCAATCTGCAGACTCCAGAAAAATAGATCATCCTTCCATTTTTAATGTGCAAGGACCCCTGAAAGGCCAGGTGGAGCCTGCGCATGCGCCCCAGACAATTGGTCTTTGTGCGTGTGTGCGTGCCAGAAACTGGAAGAGCAGGTGGCTAGCGTGCATGCGCGTGCCGGAAATTGAAAGATCATCTGCTTCAGCACTCGGTGTTGAAAAGTTCATGCGTGCTCCTGTTTCGGCACTTGGTGCCAAAAAAATTAGCCATCAGTGCCCTA